TTAAATTTCCCCTGCCTGTATGATCAGATCATTCCCTGACATGGCCTGTTACTTGTAGACCTCAATCTTGGTTCTGTTCTTAAATAAAGAATTCTAGATTATAGTCAAGTCTGACTACGTTGATACAGTCATAGGGAAAACCTAATTCTTAAATGTGTAGTTGCCAGCTCTTTCTAGCTAGTAGGACATTGAACAATGGTAACCAGAGGCCTGGGACATGCAGATGACAGTGCTCTTCCTAGGGCTGGAGTGACCATGCAGCAGATAGGGCACCTGCTGGCCTTGTATATGGCTAGCCAGGTCTGATCCTCATGACCCTATATGATGCCCTGAGCCCTGCCAGGAGTGATCCCTGAGCACAGAGCCAGAGTAAGCCCTGAGGAGGGCCGACTCTGGGTGTGGCCCTCCTCCGCCTGCCCACAAAACAATATGCTCTTCCTGGAAGGGACAGTCTATGGAGTTTGACTGAGGACAGTCTGCTCACCTGGTTGTGGGGATCCTGGTCTTGCTGACTAGTCTGTGAGGATGAGGAAGCCCTTCATTGTCCCGGTGTTCAGGGACTGACCTTCCCTAGGACGTCGCTAAGACGTCTGCTGGGCTCTGCTCTGGTCGAAGGATTCTATGATGCCATCAATTAGTCAGAATGTACAAGGTTGCCTGGATACTTAAAATTCTTTTTCTTATAGGAGATCAGTTATGATGGATAGCTTCCTGGAACCTGCCACGCAGGTGTGAAGAGAATGTGTGGGTACAGCAAGCCAAACCTCTGGGCTCCGTCACCCCCAGGCCAAATGTCAAAGAGAATGTCAGGAGAACTAGTGGGAATAAAAGACCAGAAGCTGCACCTGACTATCCACGACTAGAGAACTGGGAAAAGAACAAAGGCAACAAGGTTTGGGATTGATTAAAATTTGATCAAATAAAACATTTCCCCAAGGGCTGGAGTGATAGCACAGCAGGTAGGGCATTTGCCTTGCATGCGGCCGACTTGAGTTCAATTCCCAGCATCCCATATGGTCCCCCGAGCACGGCCAGGAGTAATTCCTGAGTGCATGAGCCAGGAGTAATCCCTGTCATCGCTGGGTGTGACCCCAAAAAGCAAAAACAAACAAACAAAAAACCCCAAAAATTTTTCTCAAAATCCATAATCTTAAAATTCAAAGCAATAAAGAAGCCATACAAATTCTACACAAAGATATAACCTTTAAAAAAGGGAAATTGGGGGCTGGAGTGATAGCACAGCGGGTAGGGCATTTGCTTTGCACGTGGCCGACCCGGGTTCAATTTCCAGCATCCCATAGGGTCCCCTGAGCACCGCCAGGAGTAATTCCTGAGTGCAGAGCCAGGAGTAACCCCTGTGGATTGCCAGGTGTGACCCAAAAAGAAAAAAAAAAGGAAATTTATTGATGTTGGAATATTGAATATAATAAACTATAAATGACTTTATAAAAATAAAAACAATTTAAAAATTAAAAAAACAGGAGTAATTTTTATAAATCCAGGTCATGCCCACAGCAGTATCTTCTTCCATGTCTGTTTCATGTATGACAAAAACCATTCTCAGGAAACCAATCTCCTCTGTCCCCAGCTCTGGCTGGCCTCTCTTTTCTTCTTTGACCCATTTTGTGTGTCTGAAATCCTGCTTTAATAATTAGTGACAATTACCTTTAGGCATGAAGTTCACAGATCAAATAACAGCTACCTACAGGGTCCGGAAGACCATTCTTTTCAGTTTGTTTCCTGTGACAATGGTCTCCACTTTTTCTAAAGAAGTGTTCCAGGTGTGCTACTTTCAACCATATCAGCATCCAATAATTCGCCATGAGAACGGCAGTGCTGGCTTCATCAGGCAGTACAGAAACATATCCTGAGGCTGGACAGGTAGAACAGTGGGTAGGGCTCTTTTGCCTCGCACGATGCCTATGCAGGTTTGATACCCAGAATCTCAAACATTCCCCAGGGCTCCGCCAGGAGTAATTCCTGAGTGCAGAGCCATGAGTAAACCCCTGAATGTTTCTGGGTGCAGCCCAAAAACAAAACAAAAAGATGTATCCAGCAAAGGATTTACAGTCTACAAAGTCAGATGAGAAATGCAGACAGAAACTGTGGGACAAGATAGAATGGAGAGAGAGAGAGAGAGAGAGAGAGAGAGAGAGAGAGAGAGAGAGAGAGAGAGGACTTGAGAATCTTGAGAAGTGACTAAAGAAGGCCAATTCCAGCTGGCTCTGCAGAGTTCTTAAATGTAATCGGTGTATCCCTTTCCAGCAAAAAAAAAAAAAAATCAGTAGCCCTTTTCAGCAGCCTTCTAGAAATCTACCTTCCCTAAGCTCCCCATTTCCACCCAAGGCTACTACTGCCCTGCCATTCCTCCCCCCACCCCCAGACGCTTCCAGTGCCCCCAGTTAGAGCAGTATGGCTGACTTTGGGAAACACTGTTTTAGAGGGTCAAATCACCAGCTGAGTTCCAGGGGGTCTTGTAGAGGTCGAAAGCAGTGCTAGCTGACCCCACTGCTGAAAGCTATCGTTACTGGGGCTAGGAGATGGCTCAAAGGGTTGGAGTGCCCAGTGCATGTTGATTTCTTTTAAAGTAAAATAGGTTTTTAAGCATGACTGCCACTCAATGCCTCTTTTGCCGACCATGGCACTCAAAAGGAGAGAGAGGGAAATGCCCTGCCACAGAGGCAGGGTGGGATAGGGGCTGGGGGGGGGGAGGGGATGCTGGGATCCGTGGTGGTGGGAAATGCGCACTGGTGGAGGGATGGGTGTTTGATCATTGGATAATCGAAACCCAAGCACAAAAATGTGTAAGTCTACAACTGTACCTCATGGTGCCTCACTATTAAAAAATAAATAAAAAAATAAAAGTAAAATAGGTTTTTATTTAGAAATCTGAGGAAGGGGAGGGAAGGAAAGAAAGAGTGATGTGCTTGAGAGAGAGAGAGAACGTGGGCTTCTCCGAAGGTGGAGAGTGCCACTGGATTTCTTTTATGGAGAAGAGGCCACACCTGGTGGTGCTCAGAGCTGACTCCTGACTCTGCTCAGGGATCACTCCTGGTGCTGCTGGGGAACCATATGGGATGCCAAGGATCAAACTGGAGCCATCGTGTGCAAGCAAAGCCTTATGCCTATACTATCTCTCCAGACCCTGCAGTCCAGGGTTTGATCTCCTGTATTACAGGGTCCCCTAAGCATTGCTGGATGTTCCCCCCCCCTCCAAAAAAATAAGTTCTGATGATGTGGTTAGTGCCAAATCTTTGAAAATATCCATGCAAACGAAATGTGAATAGCCTGTTGAAGAATTGCAGAAGATTGGCTTGGAAGATGACTCAATGGCTTACGGTGCTTGCTTGGCAAGTCTAAGGCTCCAAGTTCAAATCCCAGTGGTGTCCACATATGCTGAGATGATTCTGACAGTTCTGTGGTTAGGGAACCCCCAGTAATAAAGGGCACTAAAGATGGGCTAGTGGCTTAGAAAGCACCAAGAGCCTGCATGAGATCATCAACGTAACCCAGGATGGAGGGCTGGAGTGATAGCACAGCGGGTAGGGCGTTTGCCTTGCACATGGCTGACCCGAGTTCAATCCCTCCGCCCCTCTCAGAGAGCCCGGCAAGCTACCATGAGTATCTCACCTGCACGGCTGGCAAGCTACCCATGATGTATTCGATATGCCAAACACAGTAACAACAACTCTCACAATGGAGACGTTACTGGGCCTGCTTGAACAAATCGATGAACAATGGAAGGACAGTGACAGTGGACAGTGACAGTTTTGGGCTGGAGCAATAGCACAGTGGGTAGGGCATTTGCTTTGCACGCGGCCAACCCCAGTTCGATTCCCAGCATCCCATATGGTCGTCCGAGCACCACCAGGAGTGATTCCTGAGAGCAGAGCCAGGAGTAACCCCTGAGCATTGCCAGGTGTGACCCAAAAAGCAAAATAATAATAATAATAATAGTAATAATCTTGGATGTCAGGCTAAGGTGATCCTGTGTCAGGAGTCCTTTGGCAAGAGGGAAGAAAAATTATTGAGGCTGACTGATCTGTCTCCCACTGTTGGTGAGAGATTTGGACTAAAGAAATGCTCTTAGCAGCTTCTGACTCATTCCTTATTCCAACTGCAGAGCCTGGAGTTACCAAGTGAGCCTCTTGGTGAAATAGCAATATCTTTATCTCACACAAAGAATTTTGGAAAATTCAACATGTTTATTAATTCACTGGATATCACGGACACCTAATAGTCCTTCAAGCCACTGACAACAGAGCCAGAGAGATAGTGCAGGAGTTGTGGCGGGAACTCTTCATATGCCCATCCCTGTTAGCTGAGGAGCACCATGTGACCCTCTGAGCACTGCCAGGAATAATCCCCAAGGAGCACCAGGTGTGACCCATAAAACAAAAGCTAAACAAAAAACCCACAACTATCAACAGTAGGAAACATAAGCCGTATGCAAGTTGAGATCAGGCGAGTCCAAAGCCTCCCTCCCATGATACACAGATACTCAGACACAAAGGCTGTCGGGTGCTGCCACGACTCCCTTAAAATTAAAAGGACTCCGCAGAGTCAACTCTGATTCCTTCTGGGACCAAATACTCCAAAGTCCTTATTTTCTCTTCACATTTGAAATCAACATGACACATGGAGGATGCAGGAGGTCCCTCCATGTCCAGTTCATGACGTGGAGCCCAGATCCACCACGAATGTGTATCTACGGACAGATGCCCAGGCCCTCCGAGAGACAGTTACAGACGTTCCCAGGTAAACCAGAGAACCGACAGCTCAGGCGGCAACCGGAAAACGTGCAAAAGGAGGCTCTCGCTGGTGACACGTGTTAATTGGACAAATTGGCCCATGTTTGGCCCAAATGTGCCAAGTTAAAAGAGTGTTTAATCCCCTTGGAAATGAATAAAAAAAAACTGAGGGTCAAAAGACCCAGGGCTGCGGAGTGGGGGGGTGGAGGGTGGGAGCATCTTTTGGCCGTCCGGGAGCTGAGATCAGCCAGAAGCTTGCTTGTGGCTTCTTAATGGATTCATCGGCCAGAGGCAACGCTGGTCAGTATCCAAGGGCCGTCCTGCCCCGCCCTGCAGGCCCCTAGTGCTCCTTCTGCGCCTGCTGTAACCTCTTGGCCACGGCGGTGATGAGAGCAGCTCCCTTCCCACTGCCATCCTCCGACAGCATGAACGTCACGTCGCACTGCGGCGCCAGCTCCTTCACGGTTTCCTGCAGGATCCGAGAGAAGCTACGAGAGAGACAGACAGTGAGCGTTGGAGGTGGGATCAGAGCACTCAAGCACGGTTCCAGTCTCTCCTGTTCTCTCCACTGTCTCAAGGTTCCAGCAGGGTTTCTCAAATAGCTTCTCACAGAGCTGCTTTCACGTCACCTCTTGTGAGGCAACAACAAAAAACAGAGGCTACTCCGGGGGTCTTGCCCAGAGATCATCCTCATCAAAACCTGTTCTTTTTTTTGGGGGGGGGGGGTTGGGTTTTTTGTTTGTTTGTTTGTTTTGCTTTTTGGGTCACACCCAGCAATGCTCAGGGGTTACTCCTGGCTTTGCACTCAGGAATTACTCCTGGCAGTTCTTGGGGGACCATATGGGATGCCAGGGATCGAACCCGGGTGGGCTGCGTGCAAGGCAAACACCTTACCCGCTGTGCTATCGCTCCGGCCCCTCAAAACCTGTTCTGATCACTCTCTTGTTGCCGTCGTCCCGATGGGTGTGACATGGTCACGCTCAGTTCTGATCTGCCTTTCCCTGATGACTGAGTATCTTTTCCTGCGCTGTGGACTGTCGGTGGGTTATTTCTGGTGAGATCTCTATGTCATTTCACTCAGCTCCTAATAGGAACCTTTTATGGCTTACCTGTAACTGCACTTTGTATAGTCTAAATAAGTATATATCCACACAAATACGATTTGCAAATATTTCTCCTCATCTGTCTTTTCACGCTCATTATTTTTTTAAACCACAAAAACTTTAATGAAGTTCAACTTATCTATTTTTTTATGGTTTCTTATGATTTTGATGGCAAACTGTTGTGCAGCGGTGGGAGTAATAGTTGAGCACGTAGGGTGTGTTTGCCTTGCACTTGGCCAATCCAGGTTTAAGCCCTGGCATCCCACATGGTCCCCCAAACCATGCCAGGAGTAATTTCTGAGTGTAGAGCCAGGAATAAAATCTAAGCATTGCTGGGTGTGAATCCAAAAATAAAAAAAAAGGGGGGGAGAAAAGAAAAGAAAAGAAACTATTGCCTAGCAAAAGGTCATAAAGTTTTTTATTTTTATTTTTTTTTTTGCTTTTTGTGTCGCACCCAGGCTAGAGCGATAGCACAGCAATAGGGCGTTTGCCTTGCATGCGGCCAATATGGCCGACCCGAGTTCGATTCCTCCGCCCCTCTCGGAGAGCCCGGCAAGCTACCGAGAGGATCTTGCCCGCATGGCAGAGCCTGGCAAGCTCCCCGTGACGTATTCGATATGCCAGACACAGTAACAACAAAGTCTCCAATGGAGACGTTACTGGGCCCGCTAGAGCAAATCGATGATCAACGGGAGGACAGTGACAGTGACAGTGTGTCACACCCAGCGACGCTCAGGGGTTACTCCTGGCTCCGCACTCAGGAATTACTCCTGGCAGTGCTCAGGGAACCATATGGGGTGCTGGGAATCGAACCTGGGTCAGCCACATGCAAGGCAAATGCCCTACCCACTATGCTATCACTCCAGCCCCTTTCTAGACCTATAGTTCTCTTTCAGAGACACATGTTTATACTGTGTGAGTGCCAACCTATCTTGATGACTATAACTTTATAGTAAGTTTTGAAGTAGAGAAATGTGAGTTCTCCAGCTTTGTTTTTCTGTGAAGACTGTTCTGACTATCCTGAATTCCTCGTGTTTCATATGAACTTTATGATCAATGTATTGATTTTTGATTTCTGCATAGAATTCTGCTGGAATTTTGAGAGCAACCATGTAGAATTCAGTGATCAACTTGGCATTGCTATCCTCACAACATTAAGTCTTCAAATCCATTAACATAGTGTTTATCTACGTAAGTCTTATTTCATTTCATTCAAAGGTGTTTTATAGTTTTTAATGTACAAACTTTTCTTCTTTTGTTAAATTTTTTATGTTTTTTGTTTGTTTGTTTGTTTGTTTTTTGCTTTGTGGGTCACACCCAGCAATACTCAAGGGTTACTCCTGGCTTTGCACTCAGGAATTACTCCTGGCGGTGCTTGGGGAACCATATGGGATGCCGGGAATCGAACCCAGGTTGGCCGCATGAAAGGCAAATGCCCTACCCGCTGTACTTTCGCTCCAGCCCCATGTACTTTTTAGTTTTGATGTTGCAAATTGAATTGCTTTTTTTAGAAAAATTTTCTCTCTCTCTCTCTCTTTTTTTTTTTTTTTGCTTTTTGGGTCATACCCCGCGGTGCTCAGGGGTTGCTCCTGGCTCTGCACTCAGGAATTACTTTTGGCAGTGCTCTGGGGACCATATGGGATGCTGGGAATCGAACTGGGGTCGGCCACGTGCAAGGCAAATGCCCTACCCATTGTTATTGTTCCAGCCCCTGAATTGCTTTCTTAATTTCATTTTGGATAATTCACAAATGATACATAAAAATGCAATTGAATTTTGCATATTGATCTTATATTTTGAAACACTTCTGAATTTGCTTATTTGTTCTAATAATTTTTATGTGAATCCTTTACTTAGCTACAAAATATATTATCTACAAAGAGTTTAACCTTTGCCTTTCTATGAGGACTTATTTTATTTCTTTTTCTTCCGTGTTTTGGTTAAATTTTCTTTGATTTACCCCCTCAAAAACCCATTTTTGTTTGTTGACCAAACCTTGATTCAAGGGAAACATCAAAAATATTTAACTCTAAGGAGAAACCAAGAAAGGATTCCCACAGCTGGTATTCTGAATACCCCGCATCATTAGAGGGGCTACGTATTCATTGCAATAATAATGTTCATATGTATATTCCAACATGATTGGGACTTTTTAAATACTATTTTAATATTTTTTCTCTTCTGAAAAACAAAACACAAAAGATTAAACAGAAGTATGTTTATCGTTGAAGGTTTTGTGATGTTCCATGCCCTCTAGACCATTTACCTTAACCTCTACAACAACCTAACTATGATTTCTGTCCTTGTCTTATAAATGGGACTCAAAGAATGTAAGAAACTGATCTTGGGCCTGAGGGACAGTACAGGGCTAACGAAGCCTGCCCAGCTTCGTTACTGTGATCCTGGGTACCATATGTGGTTCTCTGAGCACCACTAGGAGTAACTCTTGACTAGGAGTAACTCTTGAGCCCAGAGCCAGGAGTAGGCCCTGACCACTGCTGGCTCTGGCCCCCTACATGAAAAAGGATAAAAAAGAAAGAGGGGAATGGAGAAAAAAAAGAGTGGACTAGAGTGATAGCAGTGTAGGTAGAGCACTTGCCTTGCACACAGCTGACCCAAGTTCAATCCCCAGCACTACAAATGGTCCCTGAGCACAGAGCCAGAAGTAAGCCCTGAGCATTGCCTAGCATGCAAAAAAAGAAAAAAAAAAGGAAAAGAAGGAAGGAAGGGAGAGAGAGAAAGAAAGAAAAGCAAGAAAGAAAGGAATCGGGGCTGGAGCGATAGCACAGCGGGTAGGGCGTTTGCCTTGCACGCAGCCAACATGGCCAACACAAGTTCGATTCCCAGCACCCCATATGGTCCCCCGAGCACCGTCAGGAGCGATTCCTGAGTGCATGAGCCAGGAGTAACCCCTGAGCATCGCCGGGTGTGACCCAAAAAAGCAAAAAAAAAAAAAAAAGAAAGAAAGAAAGGAATCAAGAAATAAGAAAGGAATCAAGAAAGAATGGAAGGAAGAAAGAAGGAAGGAAGGAAAAGGAACTGGTCCTTACATTTCCCAGCTCCTAAGGTAGAGCCGGGATTCAAACTCCTATTGCCTAAAAAAGCTCTCAGACTTTTTGTGCACTAGCTCTGAGCCAAGAAAGTTACAATTGGAGGCCAGAGTGGTAATATAGCAGGGAGGGCACTGGCCTTGCATGCAGCTGACCTGGGTTTGATCCTCTGAATACCTCCAGGGGAGGTGATTCCTGAGTGTAGAGCCAGGAGTAACCCCTGAGCATTGCTGGAGTGGCCCCAGAACAAAACCAAACAACAAAAAAGAAAGTTACAACTATTTCCTACCAGACGAAAGCTCTCTGCTGTGCAAGATACTTGGTCCTCGTCATTGTTTGTACACAACACACAGGGCAAAGCACTTCCCAGGCACAAGCTCTAGATCTGCGTGCTGCAAGCAGCGATGATTACTGCCTATCTCTTCCACGTGAGGAAGTTGGGGTTCCGAGAGACTGCTCACACTGCCACACCGCTAGGCCACAGAGCCTCGGGGACCCCCATCGGGTCCATCAGAGGCTGGGACTACATCCAGCCTCCGTGCCCTCCCTCTGCCCCTCTGGGACTCACTGTGGGTGCAGCTTGTACAGGGTGCCGTCCACGCCCACGGTGATTCGCAGGTGCTCCAGCCCCTGGTCCTGTCTTCTCTTCTCAACCACAGCGGCCAGGCCAGCGCCACAGAGCTGGGCCGCACGCCGGGACACGGCCCCACACACCTCCTTCACCACGATGCTGTCCTCACAGGTGCTGTCCAGGCCGAGCTGCTGCAGGATGCTCCGGACCTGCAGGAGGGCCAGCCGGTCACTGTGGGAAGCAGACAAGATGTCAGGAACGCTTTCCTGGGACACTCGCACTGGGCACGGGCTCACGTGGCAGCTCCCTCCACCCAAACCTGCATGCCAACAGGAGGCAAGGAAGACACAGCTAAAACGAGGGCTGGGGGAAGTGGACTAGAACGCTGATGCCCGGGCAGTTCCACCCTGCTCTGGCAATACTATCTCTTGAAACAAGCAGTTTATAAGACGTGAGCTGGAGAGCTAGTACAGGAGAGACGGTGTCTCTCCTGAGTGTGGCTGCAGCATCACAGAGCCACCCCCCAAGCACCGTGAGGGCTCACTCCTGAGCACACAGCCAGGAAGAGTCTTTAAGCATCACCAAATGTGACCGCAAACTGCTGACTGTGGAAACCGGAACTATCTTTTAAATAATGATGTGTCCAGGAGGTGGAGTGATAGCACAGTGGACGAAGCGCTTGTCTTACACATGCCCGACCTGGGGTCAATTCCCAGAAACCCATATGGTCCTTTGAGCCCGTCTGAATGCAGAGCCAGGAGTAAGCTCTGAGCACCATCATATGTGGCCCAAGCAAACAAAATGTCCAGAGACATTTTGGTGATGCTTCTACAGGGGGTAATGCTTTGCCTTGCAGGCAGCCTGCCGGGTTCAATTCCTGGCATTGCACACAGCTCCCTGAGCACTGATAGAAGTGACCTCTGAGCACAGAGCCAAGAGGATCCCTTAAGCAGTGCCAGTGTGGCCCATCCCCTCCCCCCCACACTTAAAAACAGGGAAAGGCTTATTTTGACAAAATGCCTCTACTGCTAAGGAAGCAACACAAGATACAAAAGACTGTACAAAAAGGATAATTATAATGTTGCTCAGAATTGCAAAAATTCATAAATTACAAGCTATACTAGAGAGACACTTTAGTAAATTATAGTATAGCATCACAATGTTACATTATGCATCCATTTAAATGATAATTGCCTCCAGAGAATCAATGGGGAGAAATTTCTCTTCCTCTCTAGTATCCCAGCTAATAAACACAGAGGAGCGATAACATTCCAGTATCATCATTTATAATTTGTGGTGAAATCACTGATCTTTGCAGGGAGCATTAATGATGACTAACATCATAAGAGAAAGAGAAAGGAGACAGAGAAACAGGAGCCATGTATGTGTCTCAGCATCTGAAGACTCGACCCCATGTGTGAGTCCACAGGCTTGGTCCCTGCTACCTCAAAAAATAAAAAGAAAGAAGACTCAGTGCTACTTATGAAATTTTCATGTCTGAATTTCAACTCTGGGCTTGGAGAGATGCACAGGGAGTAGGGCACTTGCTTGGCACAGGGCCAACCCGGCTCAATTCCCAATATCTGATATGTTATCCCCCAAGTCCACCGGGATTGATCACTGAGTGCATCGGAAGGCCCCCCGAAATAAAATTCTTATAGGCCTTTAAAAAATAAAGAAATTTCAATCCTGAAACTAGCCCCAGGTCTGGGTCTATCTAGGAGTTTTCAGGACATACAAGGGATGGAAGAAAATGCTAAATACTATAATCAGCAAAATCTGGAAACCCAGAATGAAATAATGCATTCTGCATCAAATACATGATGGAGAAACAAAAAGCAGATTGGAAGCAAATATATGGCAAGAAATTTAAAGCACGTCATCCCAATGCAGTGTATGGTTCTTGCTTTAAGACTGATGCAGACAAATGAATTGTCAAAACCATTATTTTTAAGCAATTTTGGAAACAAACCCTGACCAGAGAGTGTGGTCATAATGCTTATTATGAACAATTTCAGGCTGAAGACAGGAGTGTGATGGTTTTGTTTTTGGGCCACTCCTAGCTGTGCTCAGGGATTGCTTCTGGCAGGGTTCGAGGACCATATGTGATGCCGGGGGTCAAACTGGGGATAGCCATCCGGAAGGGCTCTGCCTTCATTCCTTTCTGATCTCTCCAGCCCCAGTGATTAGTGATTATTTTCAAATAGCTCATGATCTAGAAATATATATATATATATATATATATATATATATTTCTTTTTGAGTCACACCTGGCCATGCACAGGGGTTACTCCTGGCTCTGCACTCAGGAATCACCCCTGGTGGTGCTAAGGGGACCATATGGGATGCTGGGAATCGAACCAGGGTTGGCCGCATGCAAGGCAGACGCCCTACCCGCTGTGCTATTGCTCCAGCCACAGAAATATATTTTTAAATATTTCCCAATGAACTGACATAAGATGTAGGATTTGCTTCAGATGCAACGGGAGAAGCAAGAGCATTTAGCTGAATCCAGGCTGGCCAGCAGGTGATTGTGGTGGTGATGGAGCATTTGGTTTTATTTTACTACCCCCCCATCACTGTGTATGTTTCAATTCTAAGTAACAATCAGAATTATAAATGGAAATTTTGATGACTTACCAACACTGAGTCAACAGAATTTTATGTGTAATATGAACACAATTACAAAAATATGTTTGCACACATTCAAGAATTCTGGCAGGGGGGCTGGAGCAATAGAACAGCGGGTAGGGCATTTGCCTTGCACGTGGCCAACCCGGGTTCAATTCCCAGCATCCCATATGGCCCCCTGAGCACCACCAAGGGTAATTCCTGAGTGAAGTGCCAGGAGTAACCCCTGAGCATCACCAGGTGTGATCCAAAAAGGAAAAAAAAAAAAAGAATTCTAGCAGGGACTAGAATGATGCAGAAATTCCGACTCTATCTTTAGTAGGAAGCACCTGGGTGGTTTGCAAGAGAAGGTTTTTATGTTATGGACACCTATCTTTTCAGAAGCAAGAGAGCATCATTTGAAGCAGCAGTCAACTCCCATATAATAATTTAGGCCCTCCCTGCCCTGGAAGGCTGTTAGCCCCTCTTTTATCCCGGGGCAGCTGGAGTCAGGGAGCAGCCCAGTCCCCACGCACAACCCTTTTGCTTTTCAATCTCAAATGTGCAGGAGCCCAGCCCGACAGCTGCACAGTCCTGCCAGTCTCTTGCACGCTGACCAGTGAGCTGGGCCGTGTATTTTACCTTTCAATCTGGGACAGGAACTTGGTCTCAAAGATGCCCCTGGTCTGGAGACGCTCTGAAATCTGCCCGCGGAAGAGAAGGCCCTGATTGGTCAGGTCAATGAGGATCTGCCGCACGATCTCCCCCAGGTACATGCCACTGGTCATCTTCTCGTACCTGCGTGGGAGAGGGAACAGGTTGGCATGGTTGGACAGTCAGCATCTGCACACGATGGGTGCAGTGGGCAGCCGCTGGGGCTGAGCTCAGTGTGGTCCAGGGTGGGTGGCAGCCCAGAGAGGACAGCCCCAGGGTGGGAAGCCAGGATTTGTCGGAAAGCATCAGGGCCTACCCCACACTTAACCCCACAGCTGCAGGAATGAACACAGGCAGCAAATCGCCGACCTGGTGAGACTTTGGAGAGGGCAGGAGCAGACCTGCAGGGCCTGGTGACCTGTCAGCTACTCTGGGAGTGTGGAAAGTGCTGAGCTTTGAGCTGGAGGCACCAGAAGCTCATCTCCAGAGGGCCATCACCAGACTTCTGCACTGTGACTCCTGGACCACAGGGAATGACCCCCAGTCTCTACCTCCCCTCCAGCCACCACTCGTCTTAGTGGCACAGTGTGACGATCAGGAAAAGGTGTGCGTGCCATCTACTTGCTGAGACCTGTGGCATAGTTTGCTTTTGTTCAAGGAAGACGCTCTGAAATCTAATTCACTGACAGCTAACGGAGCACAAGCCACTGGGATAAAGGTCTGTGTGGTTTGCAGTGTGAAGACGGAGCCCCACTTAGATCTGATGAAGCCCTCAAGTCCGTGACCTCTCGTAAGGGAGGGTCCCTCCTCCTTACCTCTGCCTGCCAGAATTCAAGGAGCCCTCGTCCACCTCCTTGTCGTACTGTGTGCGGATGTCATCCAGACAGCCGTTATCCCCAAATCCTCCCCACTCGGAGTTTATACACATCTTCCCTTCATCTCCTTCCACCACCTCAATGTTCCGCATCTCCTCCATGTAGCACATGTTGCTGCCCGTTCCTAGGAGGCGATCATGAGGGATGTTAGTCTGTGAAAGACGGCCTCTCGTCTTAGCACTCGAGAGAGACAGCGGACAGGAAACTCAGGCTCGGAATCAGGCCAACTGGTGCGGGTTCCGTCTTAAAACACTTAGCATGGAGGTTTTAGGTAAGTGCCTCAGCCTTTAGATGTTCCCTTTCTTCAACGGAAAAGTGAGGTATTCCTGCCCTACGGAGTTGTCATCAAGGAAAAAAATGACAGCTGTCTCTCAAGTTCCTCCAGGATTTGTCTGAAAGCATCAGGGCCTACCCCACACTTAACCCCACAGCTGCGGGAATGAACACAGGCAGCAAATCGCCGACCTGGTGAGTCTTTGGAGAGGCCAGGAGCAGACCTGCAGGGCTCGGTGACCTGTCAGCTACTCTGGGAAAGTGAAAGTGCTGAGCTTTGAGCTGGATGCACCAGAAGCTCATCATAGTAAATTGCAGTATGAAGACGGAGCCCCACTTAGAGCTTATGAAGCCCTAGCAAATATTCAATAAATAATTTCAATAACACACCTTCACCCCCAGCTCACTGCCATTCTTGGCAGCCTATAAGCACACGGGTCAAACTCCCAAGCAGGCGTGGAGTCAACAGAGCTGGAGAGGTAGAAGCAATATGCATTATACTCTATCAGCAACAGCACTGCCAAGCACAGAGCCTGAGGGAAGGGGACAGTGACAAAGTGATTCGTATCAGAACATTGTATACCTGGAACCGAATCATGAAAAATCACAGAAAAAGCTACACCGAAAACCCCAGCAAATGTAAACCTTCACCTAGACTGAATCAAATCCTCATTTGATTATACTAATCCTGACCCATTAGCCCTAAATTTTACAATCACCTAATATTTCACTTCCCTTTTTATCCTGGAACATAGCAATATTTAACACCAGAACCTACACAATCCTTAACCCTAACCCCAGCCATAATCCTAATCCTCACTCTAACCACAATAAACCTGATGCTAAAACTACCAAATTTCCTAAACCGAATGATCTTTCTACACGTAAGCATCATTTTTGAGAATGGAAGGAAGGAAGGAAGGCCCTCCCGTTGATCGTCGATTTGCTCGAGCGGGCCCAGTAACGTCTCCATTGGAGACTTTGTTGTTACTGTGTCTGGCATATCGAATACTCTCGGTAGCTTGCCGGGCTCTCCGAGAGGGGCGGATGATGAACACATAAAAAGGATAATGCCTAAAATCTCCAAAATGTAATCCATATCCTAGTCTGAGGCTAATACTATTAATATGGTAAACCTGAGCTGAGCAGAGGCATAAACCAAATTTAACAATTCCCCATACTTCACTTCCCTGTTTATTTTGGAACACAGCAATATTTAACACCTGAACCTGAACAATCCCTAACCCTAACCCTGCCCTAATCCTACCCCAACCCGTAGTAAGCCTGACCTTTAATAATGCAAAAACTACCAAATTTCCCAAATTGAGTGATCTTTCTACATTTAAGTATCGTTTTTGAGAATGAACACAGAAATAAGCAACACCTAAAACCTCCAGAATAGTAACCCTACCCCTAACCTGAGACTAATTCTATAAATATAGTGAGCCTGACCCAAACAGAGAAACAAACCCACAATTTGGCTCAAATTTAACAAGTGCACAAGACTTCACTACCCTTTTATTTTTGGAACCGAGCAATACTTAACACTACACAATTCCTAAATCCTACACATTCTCTAACCCTAACTCTAGCCCTAATGCTAATACTAACCCTAGCCCATAGAAAACCTGACCTATTGATGCTCCAAATTACCTGCTTTCCTAAATTTTATGATCTTCCTATATTTAACTCTCAGGATCGAGAATATTCACAGGAAAATCTAATGCCAGAACCCACCACATACATCTAAAATCCTTATTATATCCATTACTTTGGGCTGGAGCAATAGCACAGCAGGTCAGGCGTTTGCCTTGCACGCAGCCAGCCCGGCCAAGCCAGGTTCGATTCCTCCGCCCCTCTCGGAGAACCTGGGAAGCTACCGAGAGTATCTCGCCTGCACAGCAAAGCCTGGCAAGCTCCCCGTGACGTACTCGATATGCCAAGCACAGTAACAACAAAGTCTCACAATGGAGACGTTACTGGGCCCGCTCGAGCAAATCGATGAACAACAGGAGGACAGTGACAGTGACTTTGAGTTAACCCCATACACATGGCTCCAAAAATACTACCCTTCAGCACTTCATATCTTAAAATTGAGATTACCATGTAGATTAAAGTGTATGCCACAAATGTAAGATACTGTTTACTTAATTCTTAAAATAATAAAATTTTCATCACAAAGAAAACAAACAAATTTAAAAAAACCCAAAACCTCCACAAACAGAGGACTAAACCTAGCCTGAGGCTAACCCTCAATATAGCAAGCCAGACCCAAGAAGAGGTATAAACCCACCAATTAACCCAAAGGTGACAATTGCCCAATACTTCATCCTTTGTATATTGAGGATCACAAAATTACTTAACAACTGAACAATACACAATCCCTAACTCTACCCCTAACTCATAGTAAACCTGACCTTGACTGATGCCCAAAACTGCCAAATTTCCTAAATCTAATGATCTTTCTATACTTTAGCATCATTTTTGAAAATTAACACAGAAAAAGCTAATACCTAAAACATCCACAAATGTAACTCCTCCCCCAGTCTGAGACTAACCCTTTCAGGATTTCACAGTTGCCCCACACTTCACTTCCCCTTTTATCTTAGAACACAGCAGTACTTAGCACTCAAACCTTACGCCTAAACCGGACCCCACCCCACCCTGCAACCCCCAGGCGTCCAATTCAGCCAAGGGCTAATAAGATGAATGAGTAACCCGCTGAAAATTACATGGTGGGTAAGTCTTGCCGGGAGATGAAACCCCCCACCTGGCATTGGAAACACCTCAATATAGCCCACACCCTTGATTCTATACAGTGTACCCTCTTTTTCTTTTTTTGCTTTTTGGGCCACACCCGGAAATGCTCAGGGGTCACTCCTGGCTTCTTTGCACACAGGAATTACTCCTGATGGTGCTTGCGGAACCATATGGGATGCTGGGAATTGAACTCAGGTTGGCGACGTGCAAGGCAAACGCCCTACCCACTGTGCTGTAACTCCAGCCCCTAGCATACCTTCTTGATCCCCATTTTCACTTCCACATTCACTTCATGTACGAACTGGATCAACCTTCCATGACGACTGTCATTATATCACCTGAATCTGTCGCTCGGAACGATCTTTGCCCCATTTTGACCTTTTACCAGTTTCCTCACCTCCTGAGGAGTCCTCCCCCATGGAATTCACACTCGCCCATAATCACTGCCAGACTTCTGACGGAGACCCCTAAAATGTGTGTTATGTCTCGAGCCACGGCCATGCCCTTCCCTGCCTCCTTCGAGCTCTCCCAGCTCCTGTGCAAAATGAGAGCAGATCTGAGGACAGGAGCAGAGCGAAAATCAAACTCTTCCAGCCCCAAGCCAACGCGATCTCTTTCTACCCAGGATAATCTGCCCATGCTCTCAGGTGCCAACTCCTCTTTCCATGTCATTCTCCTCAGTGGAAAGGCCAACTCTGCCTCCAGACTATTCCTTCATGTGGGAAGAGATTAAGTGAAGGCTTTGGAATTCAGGGATCTCGAATCCGTCCTTCCCCACTTCCCCTCTGTCTTGGACAAAACTGGCTTCAGAGCTTCCGTGTAAGGCACAACGGTGACCACTGCCCCTCTAGGTGGACAGAGAACCTCCAAGGGATCAGCTGGAGCATCCCAATGCCATCTTACCTGCAATCAGGCCGATCTCACAGTTAGGATCCTCGTAGCCACAGGTCATCATGGTCCCCACAGTGTCATTCACAATGGCAACTATGTCCAGGTCAAACTCCTGCACAGAAATAGCTCTGCTAATCGAGGTGGGCACAAAATGGCTGAGGAATGGCATATCGGCACAAAGGGGCAGGGATCAGAGTGACAGGGCCTGGGCATAGGATGGCAGAGCTATGCCGCCAGGGGAAGGGACAAGGCTAAACTAGTGTCTCGACACCATTCTTACATTTCTCCTCTTAATGGCTTCTCTCAGCATGTCCACCACATCCTCCCCCTCACAGTCGGTGGCCTTAAAGCCTTTGGTCCAGCCAATGAGGATTCCCTGAAAGAAAAGAGGGTAGTTCATTAGGACCTTGCCCAACATAGACATCTAAGATGAACGGCAAGACATTACAGTTGACTGTTGACCAAACACACATTTTTTGTGTACGTTTACCCTGAGCACTGACTCTGGAGGTATTGTCATGGCCCGAGAAGCTCTGTTGGGTGAAATTACCATTGATATTCATGTTCATTCAGCGGCAACTCGTTTTCTGGCTTTAATGTGACAGAACAAGGCCTGGATTATGGTGACCCCAACTCTAAGTTAGTCAGGGACTATTAAGATGTGATCAAAGATAAAATTATATTTGCCAAAGCTTTGTTTAATACTAAAAAAATAGAAGCATCTTATTCATTGCAATGATATGGATTGATCATCTTGCCCACAAACATAGAAAATGTTATAAACCATAAAAAAAAAAATAACTGCTGGACCATTGAGATGGTACAGTGCAGTCACTAGCTGTGTCTCTTCTATTTGTCTGTATTTCATTGTTTTCCTAAAATTTGCACTTGCAATTCTTATAAGAATGAGAAAAATTATATTTTAACTAGCCCCCCTCCCCTCTGTCGATGAGATGATGGGGGCACACACTCAGCGGGTGCCAGGGACTCAAACCAGGGCCAAAGGGGTGCAAGGGGAATGCTTTAGCCCCTGTACTATCTCTCTGCCCACCCCACCCCCACAAGCATTTTTAATTTTTCAAAAGTAGCCCAGGGTGATATCATTAGCAGAATCAAGAGTGAAGCCTTGGCACTACAGTCTAGATGGGAGGGTGGAGTGAGGTGGGCAGAGTTAGGGGTTCCCTGCTGGGAGAGTGTCTGCTGGGACCGCTGGCAGTGCCCCCAACTCCCTCGGCCCACTGGCCACCTCACTCTTAGGCCCGGGCCTCCTTTCTTCTTTCCACGGGGCTGGGAAGCTGATCTCTCTGCTCCTTTCCTGGGAGATATTTCTAGAACATTCCCTAGATCTTCAGAAGAACTTCTTTCTTATTGGTTGCTTTTGTTTTGTTTTGTTTTGTTTTATTAGTGAAACACCATGAGGTACAGTTGTAGACTTACAAGTTGTGCTTGGGTTTCAGTTATACAATGATTGACTACCCATCCCACCACCAGTGCCCATTCTCCACCCCTACCAATTCCAGTATGCCTCCCACCCCCCATCCCCCATCCCGCCCTGCCTCTGTGGCAGGGCACTCCCTTTTGTTCTATGTCTCCTTTTGGGTGCTGTGGTCTGCAGAAGAGACATTGGGTGGCAGTCATGTTCGTTCTATAGACTACTTTCAGCATGCATCTCCCATCCTGGGTGGATCTTCCCAGCACCCTTTATTTGGTGCTCCCTTCTCTATCTGAGCTGCCTTTATCCCTAGAGTGTACGGCTGGCCTCTAAGCCATGGAGTGAACAACCTGGTATTTATCACAGCTGTTCTTGGGTGTTAGTCTCTTATTTTGTTACTTTATGTTACCCAGATGAATGAAATCTTTCTATGTCTGTTCCTCTATTTCTGAATCATTCGCTTAGCATAATATTTTCCATGTAGTACCACTTGTAAGTAAATTTCATGACTTCATTTTTTCTAACTGCTACATAGGACTCCATTGTGTAGATGTACCAAAGTTTCTTTATTTGGTTGCTTTTTTTAATGTAGGAGTACTGCTATTTATTCAGCCACTGATTAGCTGATTGAATTGGGCATAAACTCCACCTTACTTTTTTTTTCATAATTTTATTTATTTATTTTTCTTCTTATATTTATTTATTGAATCACTGTGGGAAAAGTTACTAAGCTTTCAGGTTTAAGTCTCGGTCATACAATGATCAAACACCTCTCCCCTCACTAGTACTCATTTTTCACCACCAAGAACCCCAATATACCCCCCACCCCTCCCAATGCATGTGAGGCAGATGATTTCCACTTAACTCTTCTCTACACTGATTACATTCATTATTTCGACAAAAGGTGCACCATTATTGTTTAGAATTTCCTCCCCCCAACAATCAGAATTGCTGAAAAGGCATTGTGAAATACTTTGTTTTCTATAGCTGGTTATGAGAATCACATAATGTCACATGGCCACAATAGTGACCTTGCAATTTTGGATTTCTGCAAAGAGCCAGATTATTGCGAGATTGGTTTCTGTGCATCTGGTGTTATGGCTGTGCCAGAGAGCCGCTCATGGGGGGCAACTCGTGACCTCAGTGGGGCGTGAAGGATGAGCCGGTACCGCACCCCTTCCCATGAGACTGCAGTTGCCCCATCACCGCCGGCTGGTACCTGGATTTCCAATAAACTCTGAGGCGGTGGCCACCTTGTATGTGGTCCAGATGCATTTCTGCCAAAAGCCTTTGGGTTCTGACATTAGTTTATGAGTGTCTGGGATCATGGCCGTTAAGCAGTTCGATCAGGAACCAGAGAGGCCATGCCTCCAATTATATAGCTGAGCTGGAGGTGGTATGTGGGTGTCTCTCCCACATACCTAACTTTTGGCCGTTTACTTCCTTGGTAAACTTTGCCCCAAATTTTGGGGTTCTGGCCAAAGGCACAGCAGCAATTTGGGGGATCTGAAATTCTGACGGTGCCATCAGGAAGCTGATGCACTCGCCTCACAAGTACAGATTGACCTGCTGGTGGCACCATACCCCCGTGGTTGCTTTTCTAAAAACAGTTTCAAATCATTTATTTAAGCTTCTCTATTTATTTCTCAGCCATCAGTGGGTGGTCCTTCCTTCTTTGTGACCCACCAGCATTTCTGTGAACAAGAGCCGGAAAGCCCGATCCCCAGGACAGGAAGAAAAAAATTGCTCCAGGGTGCCCATTGATCATTCAGGACCACGGAGAGCTGCATGTGACCTGGTAGCTTCCTTGGCCATTGATGCTATTGTTTGGGGACCACTCCTGGCGATACTCAAGGGTTACTCCTGGCTCTACACTCAGAGATCACTCCTAGAAGTGCTCAGAGGACCATAAGGAATGTCAGGGTTCAAACTGGGTTGGCCACATGCAAGGCAAGCACTCTATCCTCTGTACTATCTCTAAGGTCCCGGGGTGGGGAGGAAGGGATAGTTGTGGGGGGAAATGATTTTTAGTGACAGTGGTAACATGGGTGCCTAAGGATGTAAAAACTTAAAGCATTTCTGTTAAGGATAAAGTCCCCTGCAACTCCTCACTCCCCCAATTTAAGCAGCAACCTGTATTATCTATTTGATGAGGGTCCTTCCAGACCTTTTCTCTGTTTACATGTAATTTTCAAATAAATAAATTCATATCTCTTATTCCATGGTGTGCCTCCTATATCTTTTCAGGTCAGTATGCATGTCCCTTCAATGAGAAAAATATTAAAGTATCTACAAATAAATTTTTTTTTACATTTTGGTTTTTGGACCACACTTAGTTGTATATTCAGGGAATTTAGTTGAGTCCTCCTGGCAGAATTTAGGAGACCATAAGGGATTCTGGGGATCGAACCCATGTCTGCTGCTTCCAAGGCAAGGGCCTTACCATACTGTACTATCTTTCTGGCTCCAATAAATGCTATGTTTTTTATTTCCTACCCATCCCCCCTTTAAAGGAAGTAATCACTGGAAAGAAACAGAAAAGTTAAATAATTTTCCGAGAGCACACAGACAGTGGGGAGTAGCCAGAATTCAAAGTGAATTCAGAGTCGGGGTTCCGTTCTAGGTCCATATTCTTGAGCTGCTCAGCCCACAGATTGCAACATTCCCATTTCCCATCATTCTCCATTGCCCTTCAGTCTATTCTTGGTGTTTCTATATGGAAAAGCAGAGGTGTGGTAGACATCCTTGTCCAATCCTCTTTGGGAATGGGCTTGAGAAGTGCAGTCTTGCAAAGAAGATTCTCCTGGCACTTGACATTCTGACCTTTCAAACTTTGAGCTCGATAGTTCCAGTGACAGATAATACCATCTACCTGTGGGTCTCTGAATGGTGGGGGAATGACACAGGGACCCCGGAGGTAGGGATAGTACAGTGAGTAGGATGATTGCCCGTGGACAGCTGAGCTCCATTTCACCCACAGCTTTGCATCTGAACTTCAGATAAGCCCTGCAAGCCCCAATTTTCTCATATGAAAAATAAAATATGATTTAAAAAAACAGAGTATGATGCAAACAAGAAGTGAATTATTACTTAATGTCATTGTTATTGTGTAATGTTAACACATATACACACTGTGTATAGCCAAATGGTTCAAGGCCACACTGGTTTCTGCTCTTGGTCTCCACAAGGGCAAAGAATAAAAGTCAGCTCTGAGTTGAAACCCTCCAAGACATTTACAGGTGTGGATAATTTGTTTAATCTCTCTATGCATCCATTTTCTTAACTATACAATGGCAATTTAAATTAGTATGTAGTAGCTAGAGAGATAACACAGCTGGTAAGGTGCTTGTCTTACTCTTGGCCGACTCGGGTTCAATCCCCAGTATCCTCTATGGTCCCCTGAGCATCATCAGGAGTGATTTCTGAGTGCAGAGCCAGGAGTAATCCCTTAGCATAGCTTGGTGTGGCCAAAAAACAAAATAAAAATAGTATGCAGAAATAATAGGTAAATAAATATATGAATATATACAACAGACTATTATTCAGCTTTCTTAAAGTGAGGCTGTAGAGATAGTACAGTGGGTAGGCTGTTTGCCTGGCATGTGGCTGACCCAGGTTTGATTCCCAGCACCAAATATGGTTCCCTGAGCCTGCCAAGAGTGATCCCTGAGCATAGAACCAGGAGTAAGCTCTGAGCATCATCTGGTGTGACTCCAACTCTTTTCTCCACCTCCAAAAAAAATAAATAAAAAGGCCAGGCATGACTGGATTTGAGGACACTATATTAAGTGAAATGAACCTCCAAAAGGACCAGTCCTGTAAGAATCTACCTCAAGGAGGCTCAGCACATCGTGACCTCTAGAGAGCAGGGAGAAGCCACAGGTTGCTGGGGGAGGGGCAAAAGGATGTCTCGTTCACAGGTGCAGAATCTTCCTTTAGGAAGAGGAATAAGGTCAGAAGCTGGTGAGGTGGGGGAGATCTTCACAACATAATAGCCTTATGCCACAGAGCTGCATAATACTTACAAATGGTTAAAGAGGCGAATGTTGTGTTCAAGAGATGTTTTAGACAGTACAAAACATTACAAAACAAAACCATGAACAGTATCTATGTTGTAGGAACATTATCTGTAGATAAAACATTAGCAAATGGTATGGTTCTCGCTACTGGCAGGAGACGGCTGTCCACCTGTGTAGTGCCCCCTGTGCCCTCACTGGCTGACTGGTGCCAGGCTGTCAGAGAAGAGTATCTCGTGCTGCCAGTGGGGAGTAAATAGTGTTTTTACTTAAGAATTGATACAAGTTCCACCCTATTACAAATATTCTGTGAAGCTTTTTAGCCAGGATATACTTCACTCTCAACAGGAGTCCACCTGGTAAATTCTTCCTAATACTCTAATGTACAGAAAGAAAAGTCTTTCTTCAGATGCACTTTCAAGTAACAGACAAAAGCCTGCCACAAGGGGCCAGAGCAATAGTACAGCAGGTAGGGCATGGGTCAACCATCCCTGGCACCCCTGATGGTCCCCCAAACACTGCCAAGAGTAATTCCTGAGTGCAGAGCCAGGAGTTAACCCTGAGCATCACTGGGTGTGACCCAAAAAATGAGTCCCCTCCATCAAAATTCTGGCACCTACTATATTTTTGTTGGCCCTAGCTTCTCTGGAAATCACAGATAAAATTACTGCCTCTGTGTTATAGTTGATATTAATTAGTCATTACCTTTTATACCCCTGCTTTTTTCTGGAGGGAGGGTGAAGGCTGAGGTGGGGGAACCACCACCTGGTGGCGCTCAGGGCTTAGTTCTGGCTTTGTGCTCAGGGATCAGGTGATGCTCAGAAGGCCATATGTGGCTTCACACCCTACCAGGTCACGAGTTGCCCCTCACAAGCAGCTCTCCAGCACGGCCATGGCCCCAGAGGCACACGGACCTAATTCAGAACTCAGCAGTTTGTGGCAGAAATGTGAATGGACTATGTGTTAAACTATGGTGCCGTGCCCCCCAGGAGGGAAAGGGTTTCTGTCTCTTCTGCCTTCCCCCACTCTCCCAGCAGCACAGTGGCCATTGCCTCAGAGCTTATTGGAAAGCCAGGTATGAGCCAGTGGTGATGGGGCAACTGCAGCCTCATGGGATGGGGGGCAGAACCAGCACGTCCTTTACGCCCTACCAAGGTCACAAGTTGCCCCCCACCAGCGGCTCTCTGGCTTGGCCATGGCCCCAGAGGCACACAAACTAATCTCGTAATTATCCATCTTTTGGCAGAAATCCCTCCAGACTTACTTAGTAAAATATCAGAAAACCAAAATCACGTGGCTGTGATAGCAACTGCGCGACTTTATATGGTGTGCATAACCAGCAATAGAAAACAAATTATTTCACACTGCCTTTTCAGAAGTTCTGATTGTTGGGAGGAAATTCCAAATAATAATGGTGCACCTTTTGTCGAAATAATGAATATAATCAAAGTAGAGAGAGAGTTAAGTGGAAATCATCTGCCTCACAGGCATCGGGAGGGATGAAAAGGGGGGTATATTGGGGTTCTTGGTGGTGAAAAATATGCACCGGTGAAGGGATGGGTGTTTGATCGTTGTATGACCGAGACTTAAACCTGAAAGCTTTGTAACTTTTCTCACGGTGATTCAATAAATAAATTAATATATATATATATATATATATATATATATAAACGCTATGAATCAAACATATTGAATGCTGGGGGGAAAAAGAAGGCCATATGTGGTGCCAGACTGAATCAGGATCAGACCAGTGGTAGGCAAACACATACTCCTGCACTAACTCTCTGGTCGCATTTACTTCTTTCTCCCCATAATATAATTTGACTTCTCAGTTTCCTTTGTTGTGTACTAGTAAAGTCTTCGGTGACTTCAACTTAAAAAAATAATAACAGGCTTGAAAGAGTACAGCGGATAAGGTGCTTGCCCTGCACACAGCCACCCTGGGTTTGACCTCTGGCACCCCATAAGGTTCCCAGAGCACTGCCAGGAGTGATCCCTGAGCACAGAACAAGGAATAATCCCTGAGTACCACCAGATACAACCCTGAAATATCAACATAAGATAAAAAGTAATAACAAAGCAACAAAAATTAAGGGTTCAAGGTCTCCGTTGTGTCTTCCCAGCTGTCCCAAACCTGAAACCCCTCAATAAAATGAGCATTGGCTCAAGGCGCAGGCATGTTCCTGGGTGGACTAGTGCAGGAAGCAGAGGTGGGCAGGCAGGACAGAGGTGGAAGGTATGGTCTTACCTTGTCGATGCTGGTCTGGCTGCAGGGGAAGGAGAAGGTGAAGCCCAGGGGTAGCTGCGCCCCCTTGAGGCCCATATACTCCAGGAAGTCGGCGATGCATTGCACGATGTGGTCGAACAGCTGCAAGGAGAGAAGTGGTGACCCCAGGCTGGCTGGGTCCCTGGGGAGCAGGCTGGCGCTGGAAGCCTGGGGGCTCCCTCGGGGCATTTACCTCCTCGCCTGTGCCCTGCATGATTTCCAGTGGGATGGCGAAGATCTTGTGGTACATTCGCACCGACCTTCGCCCGCTTCTGATCTTCACCAGCAGCACCCGGAAGTTGGTTCCCCCCAGGTCCAGAGCGAGGAACTTTCCATGCTCTGGGATGGAGAAAGTGGAGGGCTGCATTAGGCCCCCACACAGAATAGGTGTTGGGTGAAAGCAGGGTGGAAGGAGATGCTGGAACAGAGTGGAATCAGAGACTGCAAGGCCCTGATTCCCAGGGCCCCCACTTCTCTGGAATGAGCTCCCGTGAGGGGCATGTAGAGCCCCAGGTTGGTCTGCGCTCACCATTTAGCACCTCCATGGGAAGGCTGTTGTCTGCGGCTCTTATGTGTCTAAGTCAGCCTTCTAGGTTGCCCCAAGGACCCACTCTAAGAGTGTGGTATCCAGTGAAGACAACATAATACTGATGCTCGAGGTACCTCTGAAGGTCCTTCCGGGCCAAGGTACCCCGGCAGCAACGGATTCCAGAAGGACTTTGGATTCAGATCCAGAATCACAACATTCTAGGGGCCAGAGCGATAGTACAGTGGGTAGGACGTTTGCCTTGTACACAGCTGACCCAGGATCGATCCCTGGCATCCCATATGGTCCCCTGAGCACCGCCAGGAGTAATTCCTGGATGCAGAGTCAGGAGTAACTCCTGAGCATCATCGAATGTCACCAAAAAAGCCAAAACCAAAAAACAAACAAACAAAAAACCCAACCACCAGAATCACAACATTCTAGAGCAATGGCTCAGTCAAAGTGTGCTGTGAGGCTTCCTTCTCCTGCTGCCTACACCACCCGCCCCCCCCCCCCCCCCGTGATAGGAAACCGTACCAACCGTACCACACTGCCACCAGGGCTGCTAGCACAGAGCCCCTCACGCCTCCCACTGGCCCCAGCAGCCTGCCTCCCTCCTGTCCCTCTGTGCCCTGGATTGGCTGAACATCATTGCCTGCCCCTCTCTCTTTTGTTCATCTTCACCACACCTGACTGGTCCTGCCAAAGCCTCATGTTTGATGTTGGTTCGCTGTCTGCCTGCTGGGCAGTCTGTGAGCTCCACGGGGCAGGGACTGTGTTTCCCCACCATGGAGGTGCCTAGAACAGAGCCTCCCCTTCCCCCCACACCACCTAGAACAGACCAATCTGTGCAATCCCATGGCATGAAGGCCGAAGGATAGAAAGGATGGGAAAACCTCTGCACCTGTCTTCCAGCTCTTGCTGTCCAGCAGGAAGGCTACTTATGAACTCTGGAAAAGAGCTTTGCTGCTCAGAGGCCCACAGACAGGCTGCAGGAGCTGGCCCGTGGCTGCTAAGACGAGGCTCACTCTGGCAGCAAATGAAATGGGGCCCCTGTGTGTCACCTATGGAGTGACTGCACACCAGATGGCATTCAAGGTTCCAAAGGGAACAACAAGCTGTGAAGCACTTAACGCAGAACACATGTCACCTCTGGGAGAGGGGTATGAGGTTCAAAGAGAATCTGATTAAGGAAGCGACCTCTTAGCCAGAGGGGAGGGACTGACACCAAATGATCTTTCACAGGTGAGATCTAAAGAATCATAGTACGGGAGCAACAAATGGCCAAAGGGAACAGAATCTGAGAACTGGTCACAGGGCCGAGCTGCCCAGGAAAGGGGCAGGTGGGCAGGGGCCCTAAGACAATGATGTTGGGAAGGAGACTGTGGCAGCGGCTGGGGGCTGGAACACTGTATGTATGAAACCCTGTCGTGAACAGCGTTGTGAATCACGGTGCCTCAAAGTTTGAATGAGAAGACTGACTTCAAGGTGAGGAAAAGTTCAGAGGCTGGTGTGTGGGCTTTACCAGCAGGAAGCCTGGGCATGACCCCAGCACTTCGTGGTTCCTCAAGCTGTGCCCTGAGGCATGCCAGGTCTGGAGCCCCAATTAAAAAAAAAAGTAAAAGGATTGACCTTTTTGTTCATTGGTTGCTCTCAGCCCTGAGATGTAGCAGACATTTCAAGGGTCAGAAAAGTTAGGGTTCAGGGCCGGGAGATCATACAGCAGATAAAGTATTTGCCTAGCATGCAGCTGACCTGGGTTCGATCCCCAGCATCCCATATGGTTCTTTGAGCACCTCCAGGAATAATTCCTCCTTTTTGTGTGTGTGCTTTTTGGGTCACACCTGGCAATGCTCAGGGTTTACTCTTGGTTCATGCACTCAGGAATTACTCCTGGAGGTGCTCGGGGGACCATACGGGATGCTGGGAATCGAACCTGGGTTGACTGCGCGCAAGGCAAACACTCTACCCACTGTGCTATTACTCCAGCCCCCAGGAATAATTCCCGAGTGCAGAGCCAGGAGTAAGTCTGAGAATCTCTGGGCTGCCCCCCACCCGAAAAAAAAATAAATAAATAAAATGATAACAACAAAGAAAAGACAGGAGCAGCCTGTGTTGAAGAGGAAGGTGGAGAGTCGGGTCCCAAACAGGAGTAGCATGTGATGTCGCAGCCCAGAAAAGAATCCCAGAGCGCAGAAGCAGGCAAGTCACTGGGCAGGTGATGACAAACGGCAGTGGAGCATCCTACATACTGCCCGGAGGGTACTATGAGTGGGTGGAGGGACAGATGGACACATAGATACACAGCCTGGCAAGGGAGAGAATGGGGCTTCAGCAGCATTCCTGCACTCTGCTCCACATACACAGAAGGCAGCTGACTTAGCTGTTTCTTCTCTTCAGGTGCCCAGGTCCACCCAGACACACTGACTTGCAGGAGCTCAGGACTTCTCCCAGCTCCCCAACACCCAGTGACACCCAAATCAGGTGCTGGGGCTACAAGACCCTAATGGCTCATAGGGGCTTTTGGTGTGTGTGTGGGGGGGGGGGGGACGGGGTTCGTGAGGACCCTGCCGGCCAGGGACCGTGCTGGCTCACCTGTGCCATCGGGCACCCCGTACACGTAGGTGGGCAGCATCTTGACAGTGGCCTTCCCATGTGTGTCTCGCTTCAGCCCATATTCGAGCTCTCCCCGCATCTTGTCCCGGATGCCCGCAAGCTGCTGGTGGGTGAGCCGGAACTGAGCCAGCACCTGGTCTATCTGCTTCCGCTGGGCCTGCAGGCGGCAGGCCACCGCGGTCACCATGGCTGCCCCCTTGGTGCTGCCACTCTCGGACAGGAGGAAGCGGACTTCACAGCTGGGGACCAGCTTCCTCACCATCTTGTGCAGGCGCTTGGGGTACCTGAAAGCAGGGGTGGGCCAAACAAGCAGCAGCATTAAGGGCCAGCCTGGCCAAGGGCACTGTGGACTGGAGCCCTACCAGGCCAGAGTTCATCTGTTTTAGTAACTGGATGGGGGGGGCAGGGGCATAGGGGGCAGTGACTGAGGGGGTTAAGGAGCTGGGGGAGAGGGGCACTTGAAAGACTCAAAGAAGTGACCCAAGACATAAAAAAAGAATAAGCCCTGGCAAGGAGAGGGTGGTGCATAAACTTTGCACATACGAGACCCGAAGTTTGATTCCGAGCCTCTGAGCACGGCCAGGTGCAGCCCCAGCGGCTCCTGGCACTGCTGGGCCACACACAAGAATTGCCAGGCTGGGCATCAAATGCCAAACCCACCCCTGGGCTCCCAAGCATGCGGCAAGACTCCCTGCAAAAGAGAAAAACAAACAATCCTCCAGCCGCATGGCTTAGTGAGTGAAGGTGGCTCTAAACTCAGCCCTTTCCCTTCTAGCCTCCAGCCCACAGGAGGGTGACGGCAGGCCCTGCCTAGGGTGGGCGTGGGGAGTGGGGGGAAGTGCGGGAGCACTCACTGTGGGTGGATCTTGTAGAGTGTCCCGTCCATGCCCACTGTGGTCTGGAGCCGTGCCACCTTCTTGTTCTCCTGGAGCCGCGCCAGGATGGCGGCCAGGGCAGCTGCACAGAGGCTGGCTGAGCGGAAGGAGACCACGGTGCAAACGTGCTGGACAGCAACACAGTCAGCCTCTGAGGGCTCCAGGCCCAGGTCGGTCAGGATCTCTCTGGTATTGGCAAGGCCTTCCTTGTACCTGGCCAGGGAACAGGAACGAATGGACCACACCTCTCCGTCCCAGGGGGCAGCCCCGGGGGACCTGCTGTCTCACCTCTCAGGACTCTGGGAAAAGAGACTGATGTATATAGTCATATAACAGTGGTATCAACTGGCTTACAGCTGCCACTGTTTGAAGGACTCCTGCTATGTGCCTCGTGCTTGTCAAGGATTGGACATGTATTAACCCCATTCTCACAACCATGCTGGTGGAAGGATCTATTCTATTGTAAGGAAGAGTGATGTGAAGCACAGAGAAGGGAAATAACTCACCCACAGGCATACAGGACATAAGCGCCGGGCCAGAATTGGAACTCAGACAGTGATTTGACATGGTGTGTATCCTCCCTATCCTGGGCCCCTACTCTCCCTGTCAAGCTCTGCACAAGATTCTCAGGCTCGGGCATGAGTCTGCTGAGCTCAGGAGAGAAACTGCAAAATTGAGGGCAATGCCTGGGTTTCCAGGAGCAAGACTGAGTGGACACAGACCAGCTGGCTTTACCAGCTAGCTCCCCACTGCAGCCTCAGGAGTGGCCTTGAACAACCAGAGCTCCAGCCAGTACCTGCAGAACCGGACAGAGCAGACACCAGCTCCAGCAAAAGCTCTTGATCTGGATTCTAGGCACTGACTTAAGGTCCAAGGAGGCACTGATCTCCCAAGCAAAATGCTTTGCCAAGCATGTGTTTTGGAGGTTCAAGGCCCATTACTTGAATCATACTCTCAAGGGGGTTATTTATTCCTAAAAATAAAATCTTACTGCTTTAGGAAGGAAGAGGAAAGTACAAGAGAGGTGGAAGTGGGCACTTGAGAATAACAACCTCTGCTCAGAGAGCCAACAATAGTTCCTCATTCAAGTCCCAGCAGGCATGGCGAGCCCACCACAGACAATGCCCAGGACTAAAGGTCTCAGACTTAAGGAAGGAGATCTTCCTCCTCCTGCCACACCCCTTCGTGAGCACATGTGCCTTCTATCCTCCTGAGTTGAGGCAGGAGGGACCCGGCCAAGAACTCACTCCTCCATGGCAGCCACATGGCGGGTTTCGATCTTGCCCTTCGTGTGCAGAGCAGAGGAGATCTTGCCGTTGAACAGGAGGCCAGTCTTAGCCATCTTTAGCAAGATGATCCTGACGAGTTCTCCCAGGTACAGGCTGCTGATCATCTTCTCGAAGCTACAAGTTGTTGAACAAATCATTGGAATGCCACTGTGGACACAGCGCCCTTTCCCAAAGCCCCCAGGCCACGCCCACAGTCCGAGCCTCTGTGGAGGAAGAGTCACTCCCTGTGAAGCCCCCCCACCTCAGCCTGTGGGGATCTTGATGCCCAAAAATCCTTCCTGAGCATCATTCTTCCCGCCACCCCAATACAGGGGAAGGTGAAACTCAAGGACAACTGCTAGGCTTCCTGCTTACAAAGCAGGTTTTTAAGGTGCATTAGTTCAAGTCACCCCCATCTCAGGGGGTAAGGGGGTTCTCTTGGGTTAAGCACAGAGAACCACAGCTTCAGAGATTTCCATTTTCTTGGATCTCCCAAGCCTGGCATGATAAATGTGCACATCAGACTCAGATGGGTCCAACTCCAGCAGCATGCTGCAGACTGGTAAAAAGGTAAAGGTAAAGGTAAAGGCCCTCCCGTTGATCGTCGATTTGCTCGAGCGGGCCCAGTAACGTCTCCATTGGAGACTTTGTTGTTACTGTGTCTGGCATATCGAATACTCTCGGTAGCTTGCCGGGCTCTCCGAGAGGGGTGGAGGAATCGAACTCGGGTCGGCCATGTTGGCCGCTTGTAAGGCGAACGCCCTACCCGCTGTGCTATTGCTCCAGCCCAGATAAGTAAAGGCCCTCCCGTTGATCATCGATTTGCTCGAGCGGGCCCAGTAACGTCTCCATTGGAGACTTTGTTGTTACTGTGTCTGGCATATCGAATACACTCGGTAGCTTGCCGGGCTCTCCGAGAGGGGCGGAGGAATCGAACTTGGGTCGGCCATGCTGGCCGCTTGTAAGGCGAATGCCCTACCGCTGTGCTATGCTGCAGACTAAGACAGAAAAAAAATGCCCTGGTCGTGGAATGGGCTTTGGCAGCCCCAGAGAGCTCTAACAGTGAACAAAACAGTACAGTGAACCTGCACACACCTTGGCTTGGAGGTTGCCTATTACCATCACTTCCTGTTTCCCAGTAAACTATTAAATATAATATTGATTCTCCAAACACCAAGTGATACCAACACAAGGGACAACCTGTTTCATGAGCAATTTCAGTTTGTTGCAAACATCTTAGGGGCCTGAGAGTAATATAGGGGTTAAGGCTCTTGTCTTGTACAGTGGATAAGCCTCTTGCATGCTGCTGGCCCTCATTTGATCCCAGTATTGCATATAGCCCCCAGGGCACCTCCAGGAGTGACCCTGAGCACAGAGTTAGAAACAATCCTTTTAGCACTGCCAAGTATGGCCCCAAACAACCCAAAATAATTTTTTAAAGTATTAGGGTGCTATAGAGACAGTACAGGGATAAAGTATTTGCCTTGCATGTTGCTGGTCCTGGTTTGAATCCCTGTACTGCATGCCCCAAGAACCACAGAGTCATGCATAAACCTGGAGCGCCATAAAGCATGGCCCCCAAATAAAACAAAAAGAGGTCTTAGAAGACTGCATAAATAGAAGACAATCAAAAGAAATCCAGATTTCAGGGGGTAGAGCAATAGCACAGCAGGTAGAGCATTTGCCTTGCACATGATTGATCTGAGTTCAATCACTGGCATCCCAGGGGTAACCCTTGAGCACTGCTAAGTGTGGTTACCAAAATAAGAAATCAAGATTAGAATATTAAGGGAATGGAACTTATTATAAGTAACATAGACAGGGAGGGTAATGAAGTAAAAATAAAAAAGCAAATGGATACCATTTCCTGGGAGTATGTCAGTTTGCACCATCAGAAATATGGGTGTGAGCTGGGGAACAAGCATATCTAAAGCAGAACTCTTCTATCAAGATAATGCAGTGCTAATGCTTAAGTGGATGGTTGGACAGACTTCAAGTATTTATCTACGAGGCCTTCAGAGGAAAATGCTGATTCCAGGGATAGGTTTGAAACTGCGTATAATGAATATGGAGCATCTCACAGAAAATAGGGCTGGAGGGGCTGCAGTGATAGTACAGTGGGTAGGGCGTTTGCCTTGCATGCAGCTGACCCGGGTTCAATCCCAGGCATTGTCCCATATGGTCTCCCCAGCACTACCAGGAGTAATTCCTAAGTGCAGAGGCATCGCTAGGTATGACCCAAAAAGCAAAAAACAAAACAAAACAAAAACAAACAAAAAGAGCAATGGGAACATGTTGAAAGGATGTAAGCCTTCCCTGGAGGGACTTTTGTTTCCATTTGTAAAAAGCTGAAAGCAGTTGAGTGTCAAAAGTGTAAAAATAAATAATAATAGTAATAACTTTTTAAATAAAAAAGATAATAACTTTTTAAATAAAAAAAATAATTCAGGACTGGAGAAATAGTACCGTGGGTAAAGCACTTGACTTGCACGCAGCTTATCTGGGTTCAATCCCTGGCACCTCATATAGTCTTCCAAGCCCAGCCAGGAATGATCCCTGAGCACAGAGCCAGCAGTAAGCCTTGAGCACTACTGATGCCAACAGACAAATGTTCTACGAGAGCAAGACTCAAGCTTCACACATATGCATTCCCAACTACAGAGCCAACTGAGGCTTCCGATCTGGGAAGAAATCTCCACCTCTTTGGTTTCACTTTCTTCCTCTGCCCAATGAAACAGATGCACAAGTCTTGCCTCCTAAAATCCTGGTGACAAAAAATTATTCCAACTCAGTGATCTGAGTGCCAGCATGCCCAAGCATTCCTGGAACCTGTGTTCCCTGAATGGTGTGAGGGACTCACAGTTGCTTCCCTGGATTGAGAGAGCCAAGGTCCAGTTCCCGGTCGAATTCAGTGCGAATGTCTTCCAGGGCCCCGTCATCCCCAAAGGCCCCCCATTCTGTATTGATGCACATCCGACCTTCATCGCCCTCCACAAGGTCAATGTTGCTCAGATCCTCCATGTAGCACGCATTGGTGCCGGTGCCTGAATGAAGCAGAGAGAACGGGCAAAGACAAATGAGCTCCCAGTGGGGCCGAGCTTGAGAAACCACGCGGCTTCCTGAGAGTCTGCTCAATAAACTGCAGCGTTCTTCTAGTGCATTCCCAGGGGTCAGGTCTCTCCCAGGGAAGAACCTTCAGCAAGCCCGGGGGTTCACGAGGTATAAGGTGGACAAATAAGCCTACACTTCTCATGGAGTTCATTGCTTGCTGTAATCAATGCAATTGGTTGTGGAGAAAGTCCCTGACGAATATGGATGAGCACTGACAAAGCACATTTACAAAGAAGTCCATGAATTAACTGCGTAAAGGGAACTACAAGAACCCCAAAGCAGAGCATAGGTGCTCGGTTAGCACTTACAGGAAGAAAGAAGGGAAGGAGGGAGGGAGGGAAAAAGAGAAGGAATGAAGGGAAGGAAGGAAGGAAGGAAGGAAGGAAGGAAGGAAGGAAGGAAGGAAGGGAAGGAATAAGGGAAGGAGGGAAAGAAGTAAGGACAGATGGATGGGCGGGTGGATGGATGGATGGGTGCATAGGTGGATGGATGGATAGATGGATGGATGGGTGCGTAGGTGGATGGATGGATAGATGGATGGATGGTGGGTGGGTGGATGGATGGTTGTGGGTTTTAATAATCTATCTCCCCCACTTTTTTCTCCTGAAAGAACCAATACTCACACCACAGAATTAACTCCATGGAAGCAAAGCTCCCATCCTGCCCCATCCCAAGCCCCCTCAAGAGCAAGCTGGTTGAGTTACCAATGATGACACCGACTTCACAGTGTGGATCATCAAAGGCACATGTCATCATAGTCCCTACAGTGTCGTTGACCAAGGCCAGGATGTCCACATCTAGGTTCTGCTGGAATGGAGGGCCCAGAACACGTCAGTACCTCGCCGTGGGGGAGGAAGGATTCCCCTTCATTCCCCACAGAGGAAACAAAGATATGGGTGATTGGTTGAGACAAACACTAAATCCTGCCTGCGAGGTGCAGAATCTGGGGGAGAAGCAACTCAGTGAGGAGCTGGAGAGGAGACCCCTCAATCCCGCATGCCTGCTTCATGCGTAAAGGCGTCTGGGCCATGGACAGATGAGGGCTGGGCCACAGGACTCCAGCCATTTTTGGATAGACCCTGCACGTGGATTCCTCCTGGGAGCAAGGGCACCTTCAGGAGAAGGCACCACTACCCAGTGGGCAGTGCAATCAGCCTCAGCCCAGCCTCCCCAGGGGCAGCAGCCCTGCTGTCCCACTTTGCTGGTCAACTCAGCCCCAGCCATCACGGCTGCTGGAGGTGGCAGAGCATTTTAGAGCAAAGTCAAACTAATAAGAGAAAAATATAGGCAACAATTGTAAACCAGAGCCTAAAGGAGAGACAAATCCAAAGATTTCCCCTTACTGCCAGGGTCACAAGAAGCTTGGGGTCATTTGTGTTGCTTCAGCTTAGCAAGGAGCATGCCTGGCTTTGGTTTAGATTATTAGGAAACGTATTCATGAGACTGCAGGGGGTGGGGGCAGAGTGCCTGCACTGAGGTGTGTGTGACCCTGGGTTTTTAATTTTTTGGTTTTGGGGTCACACCTGGTGATATTCAAGTGTTATTTGTGGCTCTGCACTCAGTAATCACTTCTGGCAGTGCTCAGGATACCACATGGGATGCTGGGGATTGAACCCAGGTCAGCCATGTGCAAGACAAGTACCCTACCTGCTGTACTATCGCTCCTGTCCCTGAGCCAGAATTATTTTAAAGATGGGCATGCAACTTCATGGTAGATGCATATTCTGTATGGGCAAGGCCCTGGATTTGAATCCTGGCAACACACACATAAACACACACACACACACACACGCACACACACAATCAAGGGATTTCATGAACAGAATGTAGAATTCATTCATGTAGAATCCTGAATGGGAATGGAAAATGAAAATCTTTTAAGCCTCAGAGAGAAGTGGGGAGCTGGGCTATGGTGCACAGCATGGCGTCTAGCCAGTCTCTTCACCAGAGGGCCAGGGCAGCTGGAGGGGTCCCAGGGAAGTGCTGGATCCTCTTTCAACAAGGACTGGTCAACAAGGACTGGGTCAAGTCCCATGAACCAAGACTCAGGAATGCTCACCAGAAGGTGTAGCTCAATTGTCCACATCTGTCCACATTGTTAGGGCCTTCCTCAGGTCAGTTCCTCCTTTAGTTCTCCTGTCCACCCAGGCACACAACACAAGACATCTCCTCCCGCCAAGTCAAAGGGCTCCACTGGGCAAGCAGAAATTCCTTACCTTGTGCTTCTTCATGGCCTTTTTTAGCGTGCGCACAACATCTGTGTCCTGAACGCCCCGTGCCTTAAACTTCTTCGTCCAGGAGAGCAGGATGCCCTGGGCATGAGTGCAGAGAGGGCGGCCGTGAAGGAGACGCGCCTCTCTGAAAACGGGCTGCTCCAAGGGTCTGCCCCACAGCCTCCTCTGAGAGCAGAATCGCCCCCATGCTTCCCAGCCCTTCCTTAGGCTTGAATCAGAAAATCATCTTCATTCCTCTCGTGGAGCACGGTGAGCCATGCTTTGGGGTGGTGGGGAAAGGCAGTGCTACAGACAACATCTGGGTTCCCCAGGCAGCTGGCCAGTCACTGGAAAGCTCTGAGCCCATGCGGGCTCGATTCCTGCCACTCTCGAGGATGTTCTGGAGAAATCACCTGCCATGTGATGCACATGCAGGGGGCCCAACTTATCAGCCTCCCGAAACAGGTGGGACTCCCGTGGGAACTTCAAGTGAGAAAAACGATTCTTAATGTTTCCTTGGCACGTGTGCAGCCTGAGTGTTCACAGTGCTGTCGAGCACGTGTGTTGCCCACACATGTGTCCCTGCTCTCCTCTCTTGAGATGTGGGCTTTCATACTTTAAAACTGGGAGGTGTCACACCACCCATACTCCAAGAGTACTGCACCACATTTGATGGGGTTTAAAGTAGAAGGCAACCAATCTTAGAGGAATTTTTTTACAGATACACACATGTATATATATATATATATATATGTATATATATATGTATACACATACACACACACACATATATACATACAAGGCTCAACCTTTAACAACATGTTAGTGATCCCTTATAGAAGGGTTTAATGGGCCCTGGGTGAAATACAATACAACAATATTCATACTCTTTCCTCTAATGAAACTTTTTTGTGCATTTTCAGCCATTTTTCATAACAAAAAACACAAAATAAATTATTTTGGTTCTTCTTTGGGGTAGGGGGAGGGAGTTCAGATGGAAACATCTGAAATATGGTGGTGGGAAGGTGTAATGGGGGTGCAATTGGTGTGTAATCAAATATTGTGAACTACTTTATAAAATAAAAAAGTTATAAGAAACAACTGGGAGGTACTCTCTGCTCTCTTGAGTGTGTTCTCTCTCTCTCTTTCTCTCTCTCTCTTTCTCTCTCTCTCTTTCTCTCTCCCTCTTTCCTCAAAACTTCCAAACAAAACCTTTTTTACTTCAAAAATAAATAAATAATGATAAAGTGTTTCCACAACTGAGTTTGGGGGGGGAGGGGACTGAAAGGGTAGAGACATTGGGGTTCTTGGGGAGGGAGATGGGTGAGAGGTGTGATGCTGGAATTATATACACAGAAAAACATCATTAAAAGTATTATATATCACAGAACCTCAACCAGCCCCAAAAAAAGTTTTTTAAATTAAGATAAAACAAAATGCCATTTCCAGGATTGAAGAAATAGTACACAGGATGTTTGCCTTGCATGAGACTGACCCAGGTTTTTATCCCCAACACCCACATAATCCCCCCTGAGCAATGCCAGGAGAGTACAGCAGGTAGGGTGCTTGCCTTATATACGCCAACCTGGGCTCAATTCCCTGAGTGCAGAGCCAGGAGTAGTGACCAATGAGTATCACCAAGTGTGACCCAACATCTTTTCCCCTTGTTCCCCCCCCCAAAAAAAAGGTGTTTCCCAATTTTTTGTGTCTGGCATAGCAAACAGATTTTTTCCAATTGGAAAACCTGAAAGTTAAATACACCTGAGGCGACAGTCAAGAGAGCAGCGGAGTCCAAACATACAGGTTCCCTGGCCCCACCTGACAGTCTGTGTTCACAGAAGAAGGAGACTGTGGCCTCACAGTGGGGGATGGGCATTCCCATGAGATGGTTCAGATGTTTTCTTCCCTACACCTAGTGAAAGTTCCCCCTAACAGCTACCTTCAGAGGCTATGATAAGAGTGGGGTCCCCTTGGATAAAATAGGAGAACTAGGGCAGGAGGCTGCTTGTGATGTATTTTTCCCCCAAAGTCCTGGATGGAGAAATTACACACACACACACACACACACACACACACACACACACACACACCAAGAAGATGTGCAAGTTTGGTTCTCAAAGTCAAACTCTCCTTCAGGGCTTAAGAGTTTTCTTCCTTCTCCCTGCGCTCCCTGTTCTTGTACTTGAATGAGGGCTTGATTGGGGACTCAATCCTGACTCCTTCTTTCTCCACTGCTTCCTGGGGTCTCACCCTTCCGGTAAGCAGAAACAATGATATTTCATAGCAAACTGCACACAACCTCTTCGACAAAGTCCTGAAACGTCCTCCGTACCGTTTCCCCTCCTCAATCCTTTCTTTATAAAATAAGGAAAAAACAAACAAAACTCGGTGCAGTCTATCTCAGGCCTAGGGATGATGATAAGTTCCCTCATGGTGGTGGAATCAAAGACAAAAAAACAAAAACAAAAACAATAACAAAAAAAAAAAAAACGGATTCAACCTTTCCACTACCAGAGAGCAGTCATCGCCTACTAAATCCAAGACATGATACCAGAGATGCTGGTAGAGAAGAACAACATAAAATAATGCCTGCCCTTCAAAGGAATCCCATGAACTGTGGGCTTCCCCTGAAAGAAATTAATAAAATAGAAGAAGAAGGAAAAAACAGGGAAGCTTCTGCTGCTCTCTCATTCCCAGCCTGACCCCTCTGTGGTGCGGTCCCACATCCCGCAGCCCTCACCCCAAATCCTGTGTAGCTTCTTCCCTCCTCCCCGAGGAACTTACCTCTTCCAATTTAGTCTGTCTGCAGGGGAAAGAAAAAGTCAGGCCCAGGGGCAGTTTCTTATGCTCCAACCCTTTGGTCTTCATAAAATCTGCCAGACAGTCAGCTATGTATTCAAACAGCTGCAGCGGAGAGAAAGCACAGGACAAGGAGCTAAAGGCCAGTCACCCCCAAACTGCGTGCCTTGTCTCTCCTCCCCTCCCCAGACCCCTGCACTCCAGTACCTCTGAGCCGTTCCCTCGGATGATTTCATTGGGGGTTGGGTAGAACTGACTCTCCATATGGATGTTGCGTTTCCCCTCTTCAGAGACTTGTACCTTCAAGACTCGAAATTTGGACCCTCCAAGATCCAGGGAAAGAAACTCCCCAGTTTCTGTCAAACAAGCACAAAGGTGTTGGTGGCTGAGCCCTGCATTAGGATCTGTGTGTGTCAGATGCACCGCCAATCTCGTGCTGGAATCCGTGGTGCCTGTTGCCGAAGTTGGCAAAGTGCCACCAGTGACCTGCGGGCCCTGTGGTGGCGTGGGAAACCAGATGGCCAGGGACACCAGCTCTCGTGGAAATCACGAGGCAGGTTCCCGCAGCGACTCTGAGTCCAGAAGGGCTGTTGGGCCCAGAGGGAGGCAGAGGTTTCCTTGACCACCACTGCTGTGATGACCCTCGGGATCTTAGGGGCCCCTCTGTTTTCCCCTTTCCTGAGCTGGTCCCTTGCATTGCCCCCATTTCTAGTGAAGTTCTTCCTAAAGGAACAATCACTCTCCATGAAAGTGCAGGTTCCTGGGGACCAGTCCCAGGGAAACTCCCTCTACCTCCCACCCATCAGAAAATTACGTCAGGGCTCCCTGCACCCCCAAGTTCTCCTGCCTCCTCAGGCTCTCTGGAGAGAAATGGGATCCCTCCTCGAACCCAGGATGCTAACAGTGCTCTCAGCGGCATTCAGTGCTGCGCTTCAGGCTCCAACCCTTGGGAGTAGGGGTGGGGAAGATTTCTCCAGACACAGAGTTTCTGAGTGGGAGGCCCGACGGAGTCAGAGAGCACTGTTTGGTTTCATTGGTTATCATGAAGTCCCACGTAGGAGTTGAGGACAAGGACCAGGGAATCTTACAGCACTCCTGAACCCCCTCACCCCATCCTCACGTTAGGCCGGCCAACCAGTGGCAGTGCCGGGCTACAGTGCTTGCCCTGCACTCAGTCAAACCTGACTGATCCACAGCACCCAGGGTCCTCCGGACACTGCCCAGACTAGCCAAAAAGAAAAAAGAAAAAAAGAAAAGAAAAGAAAACTCTGGCAAGACAGTAGGACTAACCGGCCTAGGTCCTGCCCATGTCACTAAGAGAGAAGTGCGAGGACCTGGGACTTAGCAAGTGACTGCCCTCTCCTAGGGACGCACCCCACTGGGGTGTGGGTGAGTTATTGTGGGGTGACCTGAGCAGGCAGGATTTTTCCAAACCTTTGATCAGTTTCCTTCCGACCAAGCCACACCCGCTGCTTTGAGCAGGCCAGAAGGCACATCCCACACTTCAAAGTCCGCCTTCTTTCCTCTCTGGGGGTGCATCATTGCCGGGATGGGGGGGAAGTCTGCCAGGAAGCCAGCAGGACTTGGCCCATGCCCTCATGAGTGTACACCCGTACCTGTGGACTCAATAACTTCCTAGGAAATGGCCCACAGACCTGCCAGGGCCCAGCCCTCTGCACGAGCAGAAGCTCCTGGGCCTGCACCGAGAGAGCAGGGCCAGAGCCAAGCTTTTTTTTTTAAATTATTATTTTGTTCCTTCTGCTTTCTTTGGGACTCATTCACTGTTTTTCTGGTTGTGTGAGTTTCTGTTCCTAATTGGAACTTTTTTCTTGTCCTTCTCTGTACAGCTTTCCCTAGGTCTCATAGGTTCTGATATCTTGTATCTGCATTTTGCTTTTCCCTTAGGAATCTCATCATTTCTTCAGTGCTACCCAATTTGACCCAGCGTTTGTTCAGTATTCTATTAATGAATCTCCAAATCAATTTGAGTTTTCTGGGCCAGAGTGATAGGACAGAGGGCAGGACACTTACCTTGCATGCAGCTGACCTGATATGTTCTTCCAAGCCCCACCAGCAGTGATCCCTGAGCTCAGAGCCAGGAGTAAGCCCTGAGCACCGCCAAGTGGACCCCACCCCTTAAAATCGAGTTTTCCTCATTTTGAGTTATTTGACCCAGTCATTGTTCCAGGGAGACCCAGAACCAGCTAATGCAAAGGGTTCCCTCCAGAGCTCCCCAAATTTCAGTGCCTGCCCTTTGCAGAGCCCCAGAGGCCCTCCTGGAGTTGGATGGAGCTCTGGGCCCCTGAGACTGGGGATTCCTTTGCTCCTGGCTCTCAAGTGACCTGGAGACAACAGTGACGCCGGAAGGTCTTATGAGCACTGTGTGCATCTGTGGATTCTCAGCAGGTCGTGCAGCAGTGGCCTGGCAGAGCACAGGCCCTTCCCTGTGTGGCTTTATCTAGAGGTGGAGAGTAGAGGCATCTAATAGAACTTCAGAGAGAGCAGAGATTTCACACCGTAACCCCTGAGTTCTGAAATGAGGTAAGTGAAGGCTTCAGCTGGAACAGGAACGATTAGCAGTTGACCTGACTTGGGAGATTATTCTGGATTATCTGGGTGGGTCTAAAATAGTCACTCTTTTTGTGTATTTTTGGGGGCCACACTTGTTTTGGCAGAGTCACTTCTGGTGGGCACGAGGGACCATATGGAGTCCTGAGGATTGAACTCACGTCAGCTGCCTACCTGGCTCCGTGTATTCACTCTGTAAATGCAGGTGAGGGGCTCAGAGGAGTCAGAATAGAGACATTTGAAGGCGCCACATGACTGAATTTGAAGACAGAAAAGGGTAAAACTCAAGAGCTGTAGGGGGCCTCCAGAGGCTCGAGAAGGCGATGGAATGGTCTCCCTGAGTCTGCAGTGGGATCAGAGCTCCACCTCCCCGACCCCAGCACCCTGATCACAGCACAGAGACCATCTCCAATGCCTGCCTCTGAACGGTGGGGGAATAAGGGAGGGGAGGGGGCAGGCAGGCTGTGCTGCTAGTCCCAACCCTCAGCTCTCACCTCGTAGTGTTCAGGGGTGACACAGAGGTGGGGACCAGACCCAGGAATTGTGCTTGACCACTTGACCACTGCCAAACTCGTGTTGTTTTAAGATGTTAAATTAGTCATACTTTGTTTCAACAGTCATAAGAAACTAACACCTAGGACAACACTCTTATTTTACAGATGAAGAAACTAAAGACAAATATTGGGGGTAAGGGGCAGTGTGTGTGTGTGTGTGTGTGTGTGTGTGTGTGTGTGTGTGTGTTGGAATTGGTCACACCCAGAGGTGCTCAGGGCAAACTCTTGGCTCTGCACTCAAGAATCACTCCTGGTGGGACTTGGGAGACTAGGTATTGTTCTGAGGATTGAACCCAGGGCTGGCAAGCACCCCGTCACTGTACTATCTCTCGGGTCCAAAGGCTATTTTGCCGGTAGTCCCTGCAGAATGACACAGTCAGATCTAGAATGGTGATCGCCTGACTTTTGTCTGCTTCTTCCCATTTCTCATGACCAAGACTCTCAAATCTATATACCTGGAAGGAAAATGCCTCTTTTCATTCATTCAACAAATATTTCTCAGTCTAGTGTGCGCCAGGGGCACAGAATACTTTGGTGAAGAATGCACAGACCCTGGGAGAGACGTTCCCTGAAGTGCCACCCTTAACCCTGACCAGCACCCACCCCAGTCCGGGGCTGCTTCCCACAGGGAGGCAGCGTGTCCACGCTGATGGAAAGCTCAGTGGGAGGGGTGGGTCACCCGGGGAACAATGTTGAGTTCCAGCTGGAGAGGGAGCGAAGTCTGGGAGGCAGACAGGGAAATGACAGGGTGCATTTGCCATGGGATTCGGGCTAGAAACGGCCAGTGGCCAGTGCCACTAAAGCACAGATAGTGTTGCAGGATGGGGAACGCGGTAGGGAGGGAAGTCCGGGAACAGGAGGTAACTTGAGGGACATCCCAGCCAAGAAGGAACAAGTTGGGGGTCACTCACCGGTGCCGTCTGGAATGGCCCTGACAAAGGTGGGGAGCATCTTCACCGAGGCGGTGGGGTTGGTGTCCTTCCCCAGGCCCTTCCGCATCTCGGCCTGGAACCGCGCCATGATGTCCAGCAGCGTCTCATCGGACAGTCTCATGTGGTAGAGGAACCTGTCGACCTGTGACACATGCCCAGGTGGGTGCTGGCCCTGCATCCCCGCTTTGGCTTCTGGGGCTGCGGAGTACCCGGGTCTCTTGCTCTGCCTCCTCACCTTGGGCAAGGCAGGGGTTGAGCCGATTGTAGGAGATGGCAGGAAGGTGGGCATCGAGTTCCTTCATTTTACTTTGGGGATTTGGGGCTGGAGGCCACATTTGGTGGCACACCTGGCTCTGTGCTCTGGGGTGGCGCCCGGTAAATGCTCATGGTACCATGCTGTGCTTGGGATAAACTGGGGTCAGCCTCATGCCAGAGAAGCACCTTAATTCCTGTGGTTTTTTTTTGGGTGGGGGGGTCACACCTGGTGACAATGGAGGGGAAAATACTTAGAATATTCAGGAATTTTAAACTCCCAAATATAGAAGTTTGTTTTTGTTTTTTTTTTTTCCAAATAAAAACAGTATGTACCCAAACATGTTTCCCTTTATTTATTGGCTGCTAAGACATTCAGAGCTAAATGGAGTTTCCACATTGGTGAAAGGATCAGTGTAGGAACACTGTATGCCTGAAATTCAATCAAGAACAATTTTGTAACTGTATATCTCACGGTGATTCAATAATAAAACAATAATAATAATAATAAAATTGAGTTTCCAATTGCAATCTTTTTTAAAACTTCAAATTCCATTTTGTGAAAAATGAAATCGTTCTCATGAAATTACGGTTTAAATTCTTGTTTTGTATCAGGTCCACATCTGGCTGTGCTCAGAGCTTATTATGCTCAAGGGTCCAGGGGTCACTCAAGACTGACTTCTGGCTCCACACTCTGGGATCACTCCTGGTAGTGCATGCAGTACCATATGAGGTGCTGGGGATTGAACGGGGGTCGGTCATGTGCAAGAAAAATGCCTTAACCCTTGGACTATCTCTTGAACCCCAAGATGCAGTGTAATTTTTAAAGCCAGTTCAAATGGCTTAAAAATGAGTTGATGTCACTTAAGTAGACAGGAAATCAGGACCAAGAGCCCCTCACTACCCCCACAGAAGGAAGCTGTAGGAATTCTGGAGGCTCTCCTCCATCCATGGGAAGGAAGCTGCCCCATCAGCAAAGGGAGAGGAGTTTCCTTTCTCGTGTGAATGCTGATCAGTTGAGGTGGCAGCCTGGACTCCCAGAGCTCACTGGGTCGGATTTGCTATGGGGCATAGGGTGGGTGGCAAAGGTGCCCTATTTCTGCCACCCTTGGTGGCCTCTCCCATCTAGTTCCCAGAGGCTTACACCCATCCTGTTCAAGCTGGCATGCCCCCGGAGGAAGCTCTCCTGTGTGTCTCTAGGGCAAGAGCATGTGTGGATGTCTACATGGTGCCTCACGTGGTCACTTCACCCGTCCCTGCCATCCCTTTAGGCAGCCCTGTGAGAGGAGGGGGTCTCGGAGACTCAGAACCACATAGTGGCCTGGGCAGACTTCCCTTGGCAGCAGAAGGACTCCAGAGAGGCCTCCACATGCCTTGCACCAAGGTGGGATTTGTGTTCCCAGCTCGGAGCAATGTCTGCAAATTCTACACACAAATATCACTTCATATTGGGGTTGGTAGGGACATGACTTTTATCAAACAGGGCAGACCACCGTCAGTCGAACTGGAGACAGCATTTCTAGTCAGTCCATTTCCATTACCCGTATGGTGAAATAGCCCCAAGGCTCTGGGAACTGGGGACCAGGGTGAGGCCAAAAATACCTTTACATGAAAAGGGTACATGGACTTTCAGCAGGGCTGAGGAGAGTGGATGACACCAGGCTAAGCTTCACTCAGAACTTCTTGTGCACTCGTGTGTGTGTGTGTGTGTGTGTGTGTGTGTGTGAGAGAGAGAGAGAGAGAGAGAGAGAGAGAGAGAGAGAGAGAGAGAGAGAGAGAGAGAGAGAGACTGGTTGGGTAACCCAGACACTCGGACTGGAGAAAACCAGGAAGCAGAATGCTCCCAGTGAGCAGGGCTTGGCAGAGGATGAGACGCACAGCACAAGGCCCCTCAGACTGTGCCCCTGGGTCTAGCATTCACTTTCCCTCAGCCTCACATTATGAGGACCTTTCAAACAATTAAAAATTATTCTGAATGACAGTAGTTGAACTGTCACTTAGAACTCTGGGTGAAAGTTAGCAAGAGTTTCTTGTTATTTATTTATTTATTTATGTGTTTGTTTATTTATTTATTTTTCATCTTCCACAGCACCTGGTAGAGTACATAGATGTGAAGAATCAAACACATACTCAGACCAAAACGAAGCTCTAGCTTTTTATCCCAGCTGGTGAACTGGGCTGTGAACCGGACCTACGTGCAACTGGGCAGGTGACTGAGTTACGGAAAACCCAGCCCATTTTGTGACAAAGCAGCATGTGATTATCTTCTACAGCAAGGAGTCAATAAGCGACACATTGGACAGGAAGAGCAAAGTTAATAAAAAAAAAAACACATAAGCTCTGAGCTGCTGATATGAAACGTGGGCGGGAAGTGACTTTAGACATCACCTGGTCCAAAGGTGCCAGATTATGAGGTGAAAGCCATAAACCTAGTGATTCTGCTTCTGCAAATCTGTCCTTAGAACACAATTCCGAAGCTAGAGAATACCGAATACATACATATGTACTTATCATAGCAATATCTCAGATGTTAAACAATGCTTCTGAAATATCCAAGAAAAATCTTAAGTTTGGGCATATTCAAATGAACACTAGAAGGACACGCAAACAATAATCCTGGGGAACTGGAGAGAGTACAGCGAGTAAGACACTTGCTTAGCATGCAGACAATCCCATTTCAATCCCTGGCATTACACATGACTCCTAAGCAGTGCCAGGAGTGAGCCTTGAACCCAGAGCCAGAGGTAAACCCTGAGCAAGACCAAATGCATGTGACTCAAAAACAAACAAAAATATTTGAAATAAAAATAATTATGGATAAATTAACGAGTAAAATTTTAATATTTTTCATTGTAAATAATTTCAGAACCCCAAATTGAGTTATCCCAAAGATAATGGAGAAGCAAGCCTCACATGGTTTCACTATAAGAATTTGTGAATGAAACAAGATTCAGAATTGTGTGTTAGTATAAATGGTAATTGTAAGAACACGTGCCATAAAAACCATGACGGGGGTTTTCACATGGCAAATCTGACGGTGCTTGTGGGAGGGTGGGGTTGGAGGAAACATTTCCGCTTTTCATAATGTTGACTTAACAAACTGTAAAAAGTACACAGCGAACACCTCACCCGTTCTCTGATCTGCGGGTCAGGGACCAGGCCCGGTTCAATGTCATCAATAGGTCAAATAACATCAATATATCGAATGAGAGAGACTCTGTGAAAGGAGTTTCCTTCCTCCCTGTTTTGTTTGTGAGCTAAGTCGGAAGGAGGAGGCGGGTTGAAGCTGCGTCGGTGTCTAGTGTGTAGCTGTGCTGGGCTAGCCAGTGCCTCTAGAGGAAAGGGAGAAACCCGGCCGTGTCCAGGGCCAGAGAAGGGGCCGTGCCTTTGGCGCTTTCACCCCACGGATGCATGAATGAGCCAGTGTTCTCCGAATCTGGGGCAGCTCATAAATCACCTCTCACCCACAGACCTGCAGGTGGCTATGAAGTTTTCCCCAGCCTCTGCTCGGCTCCCTCTCAGCCTGCTGGCCTCCCCCGGCTGGTTGGGGAAGGGTCCCCACTGCCCCAAAGGACCTGTTTGCAGCCCTGGGGAGGCAAACGGGTTCTGTCCGAGTTCAGAGTGTAACAATCAGATGCGAGACTGGAGAGACACAGACAAAGAAGGTGCCGGGCAGTGCTGGGACCAGGCAGCGGCCCCAGAGGCTGAGGAGATGCTCCAGGCTGCAGCCTCACTAAGCAGGTGCTGAAAGCTGGGCTGTAACCCCCAAAGGAAAACTCAGATATATTGCCAGACTGACTTTCAATGTGTTGAGATTTTCTATGACCAGCCGGAGCAATAGCACAGTGGGGAGGGCATTTGCCTTGTATAGGGTTGACCAGGGTTTGATCTCTCGCACCCCATCTGGTCCCCAAAGCCTGCCGGGAGTGATTCCTGAGCACAGAACCATGAGTAAGCCCCAACTAGCACAGAAGACGGCCCAAAGGACAAAACAATAATGGCGTATTCTACATCCTCAGCGCTCTCTCAAATGAGCAGGATTCAGTGGGAGTTAAGTGGGGGGAGCCGAGTCCTTCCTCTGTTCTTGCAAGGGAGAGCCTGGGGACTTGGGGCTCCCCCTCCCTCTATCTTAAGTATCTTGGAAGTGACTGGGAGAGGCTGGCCTGGAGCACCAGTGTTAGCTGTGAGCTAAACTCCCTCCAATCCGCCCCCCCCCCCAACCTCTGGCAACTGAGGTGGTCACCTGGGCAGGCTGGGCTTATTCCTTGCTGGTGGCCTTTGGTTGAGGGACAACTTTTCATCAGCCCATGTGGAATGACTTCTGTTGGTGAGTTTTTAGGGAAAGTGACAACCTAGCACACAGCACAAATAGTATATTGCTGGCACAGGCTAATGTAAATATTTTCCTTATTGTTCAATAAAGCATGTTCCTGAGTCCCTAGTCTTTCAAATATATTTAGAATCAGGCAAATTTGGGGCTGGAGCAATAGTACAGAGGAAAGGGCACTTGCTTGCATGTGGCCAACAGGGGTTCGATTCCCTGGCATCTTATTTGGTCCCCCAAGCACCATGAGGAGTAATTCCTGACTACAGACCAGGAATAACCCCCGAGAATCCCCAGATGTGGCCCTAAAACCAAAGCAACAAACAAAAGAAATCAGGTGAATTAAAGTTTCTCAAAATCTCTTTGGTACTGGAGAGCTAGTACAGTAAGGTGCTTGCCCTGCCAAGGTCAGCCTTGAGTTCGATTGGGAGGGAGGGAAGAAGGAAGGAAGGAAGGAAGGAAGGAAGGAAGGAAGGAAGGAAGGAAGGAGGGAGGGAGGGAGGGAAGGAAGGAAGGAAGGAAGGAAGGAAGGAGGGAGGAAGGGAGGGAGGAGGAAGGAAGGAAGGAAGGAAGGAAGGAAGGAAGGAAGGAAGGAAGGAGGGAGGGAGGAGGGAGGGAGGGAAGGAAGGAAGGAAGGAAGGAAGGAAGGAAGGAAGGAAGGAAGGAAGGAAGGAGGGAGGGAGGGGAGGGAGGGAGGGAGGGAGGGAGGGAGGAGGGAGGGAAGGAAGGAAGGAGGGAGGGAGGGAGGGAGGGAAGGAGGGAGGGAGGGAGGGAGGGAAGGAAGGAGGGAAGAAAGGAAGGAAGGAAGGAAGGAAGGAAGGAAGGAAGGAAGGGAGGGAGGAAGGAAGGAAGGAAGGGAGGGAGGGAAGAAAATCTTTTAGAATGACTCTTCTACTCCTACTCTCAAACACCCCTTGCAGGAAGTTCTAGTAGGGCTTCCTAAAATCTTTACCTTTCTAGAAAGACCTTCTCATCCCTTTCCCAGCTGCTATCAGGAAGTTCTGAATAGATTCAGGGTTCAGAACAACACACCACGCGCAGGATGAGAGGTTGGCTTGCTCTCTCCTTCTAAAAACCTTTCCTGGCCTGTGCTCCCTGCAGCTTTCCTGACGAGCTGCCTGACACCCTCTTGGATCCCGGCATTTATGGGGCATCTCTTGGTCTGGGGAGTCTTTACCTTCTTGATCTGATCCTCCTTCAGCTTGGTGAAGAAAAACGCCGTCAGGTGCACTGCAAGCATTTCCCCGAGTCCGGTTTCTCCAGAGCCAGGTAGGGATTTCTGTTCAGGGTCGGCTCCCTCGGCTCTGGCAAACAGCCCACTTCCTGCTCAGGCTGGAGACCTCCACGGGCACTAGGTGCTCCCGATTAAATACTTGCAGGCTGCAGCGATCAATGATTAAACTTTGCCCCGCTCTCTGGTCCCTCCCTCCAGCACGCTTCGTATAATAAGAGAGAGAGGCAGGGAATCCACTTGAGGTGCTTGACCCTTCCAGAACAGACCCTTCCAGGGTGCCACAAAATCTTACTGCTATCGCTAAGCAACACGCTTATGCTGCCAAGGAAAAACCTTCTGAGAGGCTGGGCATTAAACGAAGCCACTTAGGACTGTGGCACTGCTCGGTGAGGCTCAGTCTCGAGACTTTCCTCTGATCCTTGCCCCCTCAGAAATGGTCATTTCTTCTGCTCCACAGTCGAGGCTTAATGAGCACTGCAGAGGGAGCTTAAATGTAGATTATCTCTGACAAAATATTTTCCCCCACCAGACCTGTTTATGCTGTTCTATCCTTCAGCCTACGCAGATTTCACCTGAAGTAATGCCTCCTTGTTCTTTCCGGTAGAGTCTTACCAAAGAGCGCCTCTTGCAGTAAAAAAAAAAACAAACCCTTCTTCCTCTATTTCTGGCCTGCATGTCTCCCCACTGTCAGGGGCTGCCACTGGGGTCAACCCCTAGTGTAAGTGTCAGATGCTGACCAGTGAAACTTCCTCATCTATGAAAGAGACAGCTAGAAAGTCCAGAGAATTTTCAGGGGTTAAGGTGCTTGCCTTGCATGCTTCTGACCTTGGCACCCCTGACAGTTCCCTGAGCACTGCCCAGAAGTGACTCCTGAGCACAGAGCCAAGAGTAGCCCTGAGCACCAATGGGTGCGCCCTCAAGACAGAAAACAAATAAGTAAATATCAATTTAAAAACAACTAGAACCATTGCACAGCCAATTGTCTTCCTCATCAAAACTTGTGTTGGAGGAATTTGTGGATGAGGTAGGTTTTAATGTCCCACATTATCAAAAGCAGGACAACTTATAACTCTTGTCTTCAAAGTGAGTTTTCATTTGGAAAGTGGATCTTGGATAATCAAATCTCCAATACTCTCTGAAACAACATTGTAAATTGCTGCATCAGACTAATGTACAAACCTCTTTAAGATGAAAGGCTCGGGGCTGGAACAATAGCACAGCGGATAGGGCGTTTGTCTTGCACGCGGCTGACCGGGGTTCGATTCCCAGCATCCCATATGGTCCCCCGAGCACCGCCAGGGGTAATTCCTGAGTGCAGAGCCAGGAGTAACCCCTGTTGTGCGTTGCCAGGTGTGACCCAAAAAGAAAAAAAAAAGATGAAAGGTTCTTGTAAGCTGTTTCCTACTTGTTACTGTAAAACTCATGGATACTGCCATGCTGGGGCAGAGAGAACTCAAAGGGCTGAGCACATGCTTTCCAAGCAGGAGGCCTGGGTTCAATCTGACACCACAGGGTCCCAAGTAATCCCTGAGCATGGAGCCAGGAGTAGCTACTGAGCATCACTGAGTGTGACCCCAAAATCAAAACCAAAGCGGAAATTCCTCAAGTTTTAATAGTCCTACAAATCATCTTTGGAACCTGTTAAATGCAGATGCTGGCATTTGGTCCAGTGGCAGAGCACATGCTGTGCATGCAAGAGGCCCTGGGTTCAATATCTGGTACCAAAAAACCAAATTAACAAATGAGTACCACTGTAGCACTGTCCTCCTGTTGTTCATTAATTTGCTCGAGCGGGCACCAGTAACATTTCCATTGTGAGACTTGTTACTGTTTTTGGCATATCGAATACGCCACGGGGAGCTTGCCAGGCTCTGCCATGTGGGCGGAATACTCTCGGTAGCTTCCTGGGCTCTTCGAGAGAGATGGAGGAATCGAACCCAGGTCGGCCGCGTGCAAGGCAAATGCCCTATTCGCTGTGCTATCGCTCCAGCCCAACAAATGAGTATATAAATAAAATAAAGATTCTGCCTTAGTAGATCTGAGTTTCTGTATTCCCAACAACTTGCTTAATGGTGCCACCCGTGGACTACACTTTAGTTAGGGAAGCACCTTTATACCAGAACTTTGGCGTTCAAATGAAAGTTTGAGAAACACAGATAGCCATGACCTAAAATGATTCATGCACTGGCTGTGCTTTGTAAGTACCTAGACATCTTTATGTCTTGGTCCTAAAGAGCCTGGAACAGGTAAATCAGGAATTGTGTGACAGAATCTGGGGCCAGAGAAATAGCAGAGGTGAAGGTCCTTGCACCACCAGGAGTGATCCCGGAGTGCAGAGCCAGGAGTGAACCTTGTGCACTGCTGAGTATGGTACAAGGTAAAGGTAAAGGTAAAGGCCCTCCCGTTGATCGTCGATTTGCTCGAGCGGGCCCAGTAACGTCTCCATTGGAGACTTTGTTGTTACTGTGTTTGGCATATCGAATATGCCACGGGGAGCTTGCCAGGCTCTGCCGTGCAGGCAGATACTCTCGGTAGCTTGCCGGGCTCTCCGAGAGGGGCGGAGGAATCGAACTCGGGTCGGCCATGTTGGCCACTTGTAAGGCAAACGCCCTACCCGCTGTGCTATCGCTCCAGCCAAAATTTTTTAAAATTCGAAAGACAAACCAAAGCAAATGAACAAAAACAAAAACAATTAGACTCTGACTGTGGAATAGTGTTTCCCAGAGGGGCAAGTGGAAGGTAAGTAGGGAAAACGGAAGAGTGAATTGCTTTGTAGTAGCGGAAACGAGGTTTTTTTGATAACGACAAATGGTGAAATATAAATCTGGACATATGCAATATTCTACGTCAATGTTATCCCTCAAAAATAAAAGGCAACAACAGGTCAACCTGTACCTGTGGGGTGAGTGCATCAGTAGCCTGATGGTGACTTCAGGCTTCCTGACACCCCAAAATTGCCGCTATGCTTTTGGCCAGACCCCAACAACTTGGGACCAAGTTTACCAAGAATTTAAACAGCCAAAAGTTAGGTATGTGGGAGCTACGTCCACAAACCACCTCCGGCTCAGCTGTGTAAGCTTATTAATTGGTCTTATCTCAGAGACCCAGAGATAAATCACGAGAGATCAAAAGTCACAGTTAATCTCGGTCTTGCACGTGGCTGAACAGACTGGGGTGAACCAGAGGTGGGAGGGCAGGTTAGCCTGTGCCTGCCCAAGCAGAGCCCCCAGCAGCCACTTGCTTCCACAATCCAAAATCACCGCCACACCCCCAGCCTGACTCAACCGTCTCAGGACAGACCCCACCAAGATATAATCTGCTGAAAATTCGGGTATGAGGGTTTTGTGACTGAAATCTCCAGGCTTTCACGGAGTTGGGGTGGGCTACCTCCCCCCACTTCCCAATACACATGGAAGCACTGGCAGTCACCCCCATGACCCATAAATAAATCTCAAAAGAGATCAAAAGCCAGAGACACAGCAACGAGTCCCGGAAGACACCACAGAGCTGGAGATCTCTCTGGGCCCCATACCGAGCCAATTTCACTGGGCCACCCAGATGGAGCAGGTGCAGTCTCTCTGCCTATTCCAGATGGAATCCCGGCGACCAAGAGCTTCCACAAGCAAGGCCCAGGTATGCAGGTTCCAGGATTAAATCTCCAGGCCGCATGGCGGCAGAGGTGCCAGGCTGCTCTGTCCAGCTCCCCACCCACTCGGTGGCCTGGATGTCGCACCCACAATATGCCTCCGGGATCCATCTTAGTGCACCAACAGCCCTGTCCCAGAGATTCCCAATGGAATCCCAAAATGGATTTGTGCACTACAGAAATGACTCGGGAACCCAACCATCTAGGATTCCAGAAGTGCACAGCTGCAGCACCCAAGATAATGCGCAATGGACCATAAATGATACAGCATCTGCCCCTGGCAGACAGGCTTGAATGGTGGTGGGAAAATTCGAGCAAAATATAAGGCCCAGGGGCTGGAGCGATAGCACAGCGGGTAAGGCGTTTGCCTTGCATGCAGCCAACATGGCCGACCCGGGTTCGATTCCCAGCATCCCATATTGTCCCCCGAGCACCGCCAGGAGCAATTCCTGAGTGCATGAGCCAGGAGTAACCCCTGAGCAACGCTGGGTGTGACCCAAAAAGCAATATATATATATATATATATATATATATATACATATGGCCCAAAAGTAGAGTATTGGAAAAATTGCCTGCCATGGAGGCAGGGTGAGGACCAGGATGGGGGGGCGGTGTATTCTGGGGACATGGTGGTGGAAAGTGTGCACTGTGGAGGGATTGGTCATTGTACAGCTGAATCTCAAACATGAGAGCTTTGTAACTTTATCTCATGGTGATTCAATTAAAAAAAAAAGTAATGTGGAGTTTATGCCCAATTCAAACAGCTTAATCAATGACTGAATAAATAGCAGTACTCCTACATTTCACCAGGAAGTCCTGGGTCACGTCCACCATGTCTACCACCTCGAAGAGTGGCAGCAGCAGCCACTTGGTGATCCTGCCGATGCCCGCACCGCAGTCCAGGGCACACGACGTGCCCATCCTGTTGGGGCCTTCCCTCAGGAACCTCTGCAGGAACTTCTAGGAGCTGTTGATGTCGACGGCTGAGATGTGGCTGTACCCCCCCAAGCATGCCGTCTACCATGGGCGGGACTTCCTGCCAGTAGGTCTTGGCCTTGGTGTAGAAGCGCTTTTCATCCTCAATCACCTCCCTGGTCATAGTGCGCGGTACCCCGGGCAGGGCCTCTCTCTCCCCGCCCCCCACCCCCCGCACTGGCAGGAAGCAGAGGGGCTGGAGCGATAGCACAGCGGGTTGAGCATTTGCCTTACACAAGGCCAACTGCCTACTGAGTTCGATTCCCGTACCCCTCTCGGAGAGCCCGGCAAGCTACCGAGAGTATCTCACCCACACGGCAAAGCCTGGCAAGCTCCCCGTGACGTATTCGATATGCCAAACACAGTAACAAGTCTCACGATGGAG